TATCGAGCTAATATCTCTCTCTCTTCTCTTCTCTCTCTCTGTATACAGTGGAACCCCTCTCTAAGGACCCTCGATGAAATTAAGACACCTCTCCAATAAGGACATGTTTTCTTTCCCCAAGAATAGTTTCTCACATATAATTTGAGGACACCTCACTAACATGGACACTTTCTTCTGTCCCATCAGTGTCCAGATAGAGAGGTTCTTTTATCCTTTATTTTATTTCCCCTCCTTCTCTCTTGCGTACCAAAGTTACTATGCTGAGAGACAATAGGAACAGTCGCCGACGAAATGATTTATCGTGAATGTAGTGTTCTATATCTACCTGCTGAGAATGACTGAGGGAAAGAGAGAGAGAGAGAAGTTACGATAATACCTTGTGCAAACGTGGGAATTACGGAAACACCATTAGATTACGAAACACACAGCAAACATATTTGGTACAAGGCAGACAGAAGAGACGTACGGAGTATGGTCGTGGTGAGAGCTGTGGAAAAGACCCTCGAAGACGTGGCGGATCTTGACGGGCACCGGTCTTCTTCCTGTTCGTCCGGGATCGGGTCGTTCTCCTCGCGTCGTAGTTCTCCGGGTGAGCGTGGCTTTTCCGCCGCACCAAGCCGCGGTGGTGGTGGAGGTGCAAATGAGGATGACTCGTTATCGACGGGGCAGCTGTCCCCGTCAGTGACCCCTGGCTCCCTCCCGCCATGTTCGCTGGGGAAACACTACACGCTGCTTGTTGCTCTCTGCAGTTTTTCACCTCTCTAGGCGCTTTCTACACGCTAACTCATCCTACTACTATCTACCTCCCCTACGCGATCTACGATTTTACCTCCTAATACTAGAGAGTATCGATATCAGATTACGGAGCAGCGGACGGAGCAGGTATACGGAGATCAGTCCCTCCGCCCACGTGGCGGACCGATGAGCTTGCGGCTAGCAACGCGAGGTTGCATCAGGAAGGTCGCTGTGTCTTGGTGGAGGAGCTCTCTCGGAGGGTTTGGCTGGTCCAGAAACATGGCCGACAGCAGCGGGAAGATGGCGACGGCGGCGGGCGCGCAGGAGCCCGGCGGGCCGGTCGTGAAGACTGAGAAACAGCTGAAGAAAGAAGCTGCGAAGAACGCCAAGCTGGCCAAGTACCACGAGAAGATGGCCATGCAGAAGGCTCAGAACGCGGGGGAGGTAAAAAAACAAAACGTCTCCCTTGACACCCTCTTAGCTCCCTGCTCTCTCTACACAGCAAGCAAAACCAAAGGAGAAGAAACCAGTGGGGAAGAAAGCTCCGACTTCATTCACCTACGACATTCCTACTCCTCCGGGAGAGAAGAAAGGTGAGTTTGGGAATCCCATAGAAGAGGGATACCTTGCCAGTGGTTTACACTGTGGCTCTGCAGACGTGACGATTCCTCTGCCGTCGGCCTACAGCCCTCCGTTTGTGGAGGCAACGTGGTACGCGTGGTGGGAGAAACAGGTACAGTTTGAGAGAGATGGAGGGGGGAGGGGGAGAGAGTGAAATGAGAGAGAGAGGAGGGAGTAGAAGATGAGGGTTAGAGAAAATAGGACGAGAGAAGATCTCACCTTTCTCCCTTTGTCTACTCAGGGCTTCTTCAGTCCGGAGTATGGGGTAAGTGTATTGTACTATATTACCATAGATACTATCAACCACAACAAAGTCCTCTATAATGGTACCTGCAGAGAAGGACAGTTAGTGACCCTAACCCTAAAGGATCATTCATCATCACCCTCCCTCCTCCCAACGTGACTGGGACCCTTCATCTCGGCCACGCCCTCACCAACGCCATCGAGGACTCCATCGTCAGATGGTGAGTGGCAGACCAATCGGATTACGGCACCAGGTCACGTGACCTGAGGATGATGTAATCGTGATGCAATCGGCTCCAGGCACAGGATGAAGGGGCGGACGGTGGTGTGGGTCCCCGGGAGCGACCATGCTGGTATAGCCACTCAGGTGGTTGTGGAGAAGAAGCTGATGAGAGAGAGGGGGTTGTCGCGACATGACATCGGGCGAGAGAAGTTCATTGAAGAGGTGTGGAAGTGGAAGCAAGAGTGAGTCTTCCTTTACCATCTTCCTCCCTCCCTCCTTCCCTTCTCATCCTCTTCTTCTTTCCCCCTCTCCTCCTCTCATGACAAGCCCACCATGTTGAACCATTGTCTTGGTGTCTGTTCTAAAAGTCCAGTTTCAATATTTTTTTGTAGAAAATAGGTCTACTCCAAGGGTCCAAAGTATACACTTTAGCAAACGCATGCCAAGAATTGCAATAGTCATTGAATGTGTGTGTGTGTGTGTGTTGCCTGGCAGGAAGGGGGACAGAATCTACCACCAGCTGCGGAAATCCGGGTGCTCCCTGGACTGGACCAGAACCTTCTTCACCATGGACGAGGTAGCATTAAACTAGAGATTCACACAGATTCATTCGAACCATCCTACAAGAGTGAGATAACAGAAAACATGGGAGGAAGATGTATTTACAAATCTCAAAGTTTGTTGTAGAGCAGCATGTGCCGAGTTAATTTCTTTAGTCCTGCCAATTTGCGAAAAGATTCTCACTCTGAATATTGCGTGACTTGAATGAGGCAAGAATCAAGCGGACCCAGGACAGCTCTTCTTTACTTAGCCTCAATTTCTCTAAACACCTCTCCCTCCCCCAACATGCACACACACACTGTTCTTCAGAATCTGTCGCGGGCTGTGAAGGAATGTTTCGTTCGTCTCCATGACGAGGGAACCATTTACCGCAGCAACAGACTCGTCAACTGGTCAACTCGTCTCAAATCGGCCATCTCTGACATTGGTAACGAGGGGGCGCCCCTATTAATTGTCTCGATATTGAAACTGGAACTCTATCGTCCACAGAGGTGGACAAGGTTGAGCTGGAGGGGAAAACCCTGCTATCAGTGCCGGGATACGACAGGAAAATCGAGTTTGGACAACTGGTTTCCTTCGCCTATCGTCTTGAGAACTCAGGTTTTGTTTCAATTTCAACTCTGTTCGAGTTCGTGTGTTTGTTTGTGCTGTCCGCAGAAGAGGAGATCGTCGTGGCAACGACCCGTATCGAGACCATGTTAGGAGACACAGCTGTTGCAGTTCATCCTCAGGATCCCCAAGTACAAGGTCGGTGTCTTTGTGGAGAGGAAGAGAAAATGGTTTTGTACGTTCAGTACCAAATTTTTTCATGGCTTACATTTTTTGCAGAACTTATGTATATAGAAACTTGCTCTACCAAAAACGTAACACTTAACCAGCCACGGACACTGTCCAGAGCCTCCATAAGTCCATAAGAATTTATATGGGGGGTTATAATACTAGGTGCTAATATGTACTTTATACATCAATTTCTGCTTATTTAAGCAGATCCCCATGGCGTCCAGAGGGTTTTAAATATTGTCCGTGGAAAATGTTTCTGCAAAATTTCAAATTTCCGTGTGCCTGAAAAGTACGACTCTTCATTGGTGATGATTTCTTTGTTCCAGGACATGGTGGGGAAGCTGTGTGTCCATCCGTTCTGCGAGCGTCGACTGCCTATTGTGGCCGACGACTTTGTAGACATGAACTTTGGTACGGGCGCAGTCAAAATCACCCCCGCCCACGACCACAACGACTACGAATGTGGGAAGAGGAACAACCTCGAGTTCATCGAGATGATGAATGACGATGGTTACATCACCAACATCTGCCCCCAGTTCCAGGTGGGTGTGGTCTTCATTCCCCAAGTAATGTGACATCATGTGACCTGTCATGTACTAATTTTTAGAGCATAAGATTTTTTACTGGGGGAATGGGTTTGGGGTTTTGATTCAATACACACTTTTAGGATCAAACGTCATGTGATCTGTCGATGATCTGTCATGTGACATTGTATTACCTGTCGCAGTGTAACATCATGTGATCTGTCATGTGATGATCATGTGACCATGCAGGGTATGAAGAGGTTCGATGCCCGGACGGCTGTGCTGGAAGCACTGAAAGAGAAGGGGCTGTATCGCGAAACCAAGGACCACGCCATGGTGGTGCCTGTGTGCAGTAGGTCCAAGGATATCGTGGAACCACTCATCAAGCCACAGTGGTGGCTAAACTGTACCGACATGGCCAGGGACGCCGCCGAGGTTGGTCATCTCTGGACTGTAGCTTTTCTGTTTACACAAGGCCAACGTATTATTTCTCTCTTTGCTAATGTTTACCTAATTACCTTTCCTCCCACTTCTAACGCTTAAAAATGTAATCTTTTTGCCTACTAATGTTTACCTTCCTTCGTTCTGCTATTAACCCCCTGCCCGCTCTGACAGGCGGTGAAGTCAGGCGCCATGAGGCTGATTCCCTCCTCCCACGACCGGACATGGTACCACTGGCTGGGGAACAGCCGCGACTGGTGCATCTCACGTCAACTGTGGTGGGGTCATCGAATCCCAGCCTACTTCGTGACCTTTACTGACCCCAGCATGCCTCGCGGTGATGTAAGTCTCTCATCTTTACAATGAAAGAGGACCCTCCAATTAATGAACACCTCTCTATAAAGGACACTATGTACACTTTCAATGTTCCAAAGGTGTCCCTTATTTGGAGATTTCACTGTATCTTACACATCGAAGTTAGTTTCACTTTCATTTTTCAGCCGAAAGAGGGCGAGTATTGGGTGAGGTGAGGTTAAATTGAACCCTGTACTCTGTCCCTTGACCTCTGTATTTTGCACCCCGCAGTGCGACGTCCAAGGAGGTTGCACTGGAAAGAGCTGCGAAGAAATTCAAAATTGCCAAAGAGAAGATTGTCCTGAAACAAGGTATACTCGACTGTCCTGTTGAGTGTCGTGTCCTGATAATTTCCCTCGTCAGACGAAGACGTCCTGGACACCTGGTTCTCCTCCGGGCTCCTCCCATTCTCCATATTTGGATGGCCCGACCAAGTGAGCACGGATAAGAACAAGTAATGAAATACTTCAGCGAATTGCGCAACAGCACAAAAGCAATTTTCACGAATGCGGCGTCCAAAGTTCCACGAATGTGGGAGTCCAAAGTACTCCTGTGAGTACTTTGGACCCCGCATTCGTGAAAATTGCTTTTGTCGTAACTTCTCTCTCTCTCCCTTCCTCTCTCCCCTGTACCTGGACAGACAGAAGATCTGAAGACCTTCTATCCCAACTCACTACTGGAGACTGGTCACGACATCCTCTTCTTCTGGGTTGCCAGGATGGTGTTCTTTGGGCAGAAGATAATGGGACATGTCCCTTCTCTGAGGTCTCCCCTCTCTTCTTCTTCTTCTCCCTCCCGTCCATTCCTCTCTCCCTCTCCTTCTCTCTCTTCCTCTCTCCCTCTCCTCCTCCCTCCCACCCTCACTAAAACCACTCCCTCCCCTCCTCCACAGGTGTACCTGCATGCGATGGTAAGAGATGCTCACGGGAGGAAAATGAGCAAAAGTCTTGGAAATGTCATCGATCCTCTGGATGTCATGGGAGGCATCTCCCTCCTGGTGCGTTTATACTGCTATTTCCATTGCCTTTTGGTACTGATTAACTAGGTGTGTGCTGTTGTTGTTGTTGTTGTGTGCAGGAGCTACAGAAGAAACTGGAAGGTGGAAATCTCGATCCAAAGGAGGTGGAGAGGGCCAAGACCGGCCAGGTTAGAGTTCATGAAATCATTCTCTTCTCATCTTCTCACTCAGTCGTAACGTACACCCTCGCAAACAGCTGTGCATCATGCAGGCATTCACGTGTGCCTACTGTACATAGTTATTGTAGTGTCATTACTCCTCCCCCTCTCTCCTCTCTCTCTCTCTCTCTCTCTCTCTCTGAGTCAGAAGGCTGACTACCCTGACGGTATCCCAGAGTGCGGCACGGACGCCATGAGGTTTGCCCTCTGCGCCTACACAGCCCAGGGCCGCGACATCAACCTAGACGTGAAGAGGGTCGTCGGCTACCGATTCTTCTGTAACAAGATCTGGAACGCCATGAGGTTCTCCCTCACTAATCTGGGATCAGAGTTCACTCCAAACTCCGCCCAGGAGGTGTGGCTTTGTTAAACAAGCAGTGTAACTATGGTGAAACCTCTGACCCTCTGAATAAGTGCCACCTCTCTATTAATACGTATGTTCTGCCCCCTCCCCCTCCCCATACTCACTGTATTTCAGAGGTTTCGCATACAATTCTCTTTACATCATCTCTCCCTCCTCTCTGTTATGTAATGTTAGCTAACTGATCAGGAGACTGTCATGGATCGATGGATCCTCAGCCGGCTCTCGGTTGCCGTCGACGACTGTAACCGTGGTTTCGCGGAGTACGATTTCCCGCTGGTGACCTCGGCGATATACAACTTCTGGGTGTACGAGTTATGTGATGTGTATCTGGAGACCCTCAAGCCAGTCCTGTATGGCGATGACACTAGTGCCAAGAACGTCGCCAGAAATGTTCTGTATCCTCAACTCTTCCCTAGTGTGTATATCTCCTTCTCCTTCTAGTGTGCCCCCTTCCCTCTTTCCCTCTGCTTAGCCTCTGTTCCTCCTTGTACCTCTCCCTCTCCTTCTAGTGTGCCCCCTTCCCTCTTTCTCTTTCCCTCTGCTTAGCCTCTGTTCCTCCTTGTACCTCTCCCTCTCCTTCTAGCGTGCCCCCTTCCCCTCTTTGTCTGTCCCTCTGCTCATAAAGGTTTACTTGTCAGCCTCTGTTCCTCTCCCTCTCAAATAAACAGGCAAAACAAGCTTCCCTAACTGCCAGAATGTGTGCAATATCACTAGGTACGGTAGTACTTAGTATATAGGGATGACAGGTTGTCCTGCTTATGCCCATACATTTGAGATTTACATTTCACTTTTTTCTCTAAAGTTTCAGATGTCACTGTTGTGCTCACCAACAGTACATTGCAAAACCCGTTGTGTGTTACAGCCACTCAGTTGATTCAGACCCTGACTCACCACCGATTACAGCTATACATGTCTAGAGACAGCTCTCCTCCTCATCTCCCCGTTCATGCCGTTCCTGTCGGAGGAGCTCTACCAGAGATTGCCACGTCGATCCCCCTCCTCCCCTCCCTCCATCTGCGTCACCCCCTACCCCGAACAGGTCTCCATACAGCTGTCTTCTCTATATACCAACACCCACTTACAGTTACAACGTTTTAGAGACAACTGTATATACACGAATGAAATGCATTTTTGTGTGAGCGAAAGCAAGTGTTAAATCTCATTGATTTCACGTGTGACATACCTAACTCTATCAGCTTCTCTTTCTGTCTTTCTCACCCCCACACACACACACAATCTCTCTCTCTCTCTCGCCTCATCTTGTCTCCCCTCAGCTGAAATACCACGACCCGGCTCTGGATGCGAGGGTGAAGCTGACACAGGAAGTTGTGCGCGTCATTCGCTCCATGAAACAAGACTACTTGCCAGCCAAGGCCAAGCCAGAGGTACACCTGGTCTGCCACACCCCCGAGGCCTCTGACATCCTCTCACAGTTTGTGGGCGTGGTCACCACTCTCAGCCAGTGCAGCAAGTCAGTCTGACTCCACCCACTGTTCTAATTAGTGCCACTCTCATTAGCAGATTTTTTTATGTTAGACTACTAACACTAAACTAAAGTTTCTTCCCCTAAAGGAAATGTCAATAATTGCCCCAGAATGCTTCAATTCTCAATGTCTATTGGTATGTTGTTATCGTGTGTCTCCATTATGTCAGAGTGAATGTGATGGGAGGGGAGGGGAGGGTCCCTGGAGGCTGCACCATGACGACCGTGGGGGCCAGCGTTCAGGTGCATCTCCAGCTGAAGGGACTGGTCGACTTTGACAAAGAGGTGAGCCTCTCCCTCGGCAGCGTCTGGAGAAAAATCACCTCGTTTTCTGTCTCTCTCTCTCTCTCCTCTTTCTTCCACTGTCCGTTGTGAAGGTGAGCAAGTTGGAGGAAAAGATTCGTAAGATCAACTCTCAACTGGAAAAACTGGTCAAACAAGAACAGGTGGACGGCTACGAAGAAAAGGTAACTAATACGATTGGTGCAGCCTGTACGAGTTAGTGGTCACCACATGCAGCAACTAAATGCATATAATTATAGTCGAAAGGGGGCTGACATGTGTGTGTGTGTGTGTGTGTGCAGGTGCCAATAGAGGTGAGAGACGCGACGAGGGAAAAGACACAGTCACTGGAGACCGAGAGAGGACAGCTGGAGGGAGCTCTGGCCGGATTCCGTTCCATGAAGGAATGAGAATAGGACAGACTGTGCAATTCACACGATAGGTAGCGAATCAATTTCGTGTACAGTTTTATTTTGAATTACTCGTAAGAGGTGGTTGTGTGACAGGCTATGAAGTGACTAGTTCGTGTTTCGCTCTATTATGTTTGAGGCCAGAGACGGCGTGCAGCTGGCGACGTTTGGTGGGTGGACCAGAACACCGTGACAACTCCACTCCCTTTCTCCTCACTCCATGATGAACCACTGCCATAGAGAAAATGGAGGTAAAAGATTATAGTGATTGGTTTGGGAGGTCCCCACCTCTTCTGGATTTCATGGTTGACACTGGTGGCAGCTCAGATATTTCTTCCTTCTCTTCCTCATCCCTGTCGTTTCCCTCCTCCTTCCTTTCTCCCTCCATCTCTTCCTCCTTGTTACCCACTGCTGCAGTATTCCCAGCCGGCCACTTCTTCCCAAATCTCTCCTCAAACAGACTCAGCCTTCCAGCATTGTCTATATGTACACACGACGACACTTGTGCATTCATTAGCCCAGTGACAGAGAGAGACTTACAGTTGTCCAGAGCACGTCTGTACCTCTTTCCCTTCAAATGTAGCTCCACCTCCGCCGGCTTTCTGTTCATGTAGCGGTTGGTGAGCGCACAGAAAAGCTGTCTCCTTTGAACAACAACCACTCCGAACTGAAACTCAATAAGAGTCCAAAACAGCTTACTTTCTCTTTCGACTGGGGATTATATACGGTTGAAGTCGGCCAAAGTCGAAGTCTTTTTCAGCCTTCAACGTTCTGAACTTTTTGCCGTCCACATAGGCTCGGACCACCTCGGCTCGCCCGGGCATTTCGTGGTGGCTAAGACTGCACACAACCTGGGAACAGCGGCGAGGGTGTTCACACAATTATGCAGTTAGCTAGCGGTGTTTGGGGCCTCACCACTCCCTTCCCAGCGTGTAGCTTTAGCTCTGGAAACGTCGCCAGCAGGCCTTCAAGTGCTGACTCGACCTCCATTTCTCTTCCACGTGTTCGGAGGCGTGGCTCTCAGATATAGAATCCATCCAATCGCCGAGACGGAATAGAGACCTGCACGAAAAGTGGGTGGGGCTGATATTCCTTTCGCACAGGCGGATTAATCATCGACAGAAGCGAGATCTGGCGGCTCTGCAGGCGATGAACGGAAAGGTCTGGGTTCCGGAGACCAGTATAGCAGACTGCAAGACGACCCAACCAACCGCAGTCGAGAAACAAGAGAGAAAGAGAGGAAAAATCACCAGGCGTACCACACCGACGGTGGAATTTCGCGCGGAGAACTCGAGTCAGAGACAGAGAAAGCAGACGTACAGTACCATAGAGAGCAGCAGCTACAGTAGACTATCTCTCCACCTCGCTCTGAACCATACTTCCACAGGAGAATGTCGCGCGAGAACCGAGTTCTGCGGCTGGGAGGGAGGCTCTTTGCATTCGGCCTCGATGGTGCGCAGGTGCACGGGTGAGCCAGCGACCGGACAGAGGAGCGCACTGCAGAGCAGATCTGGCGGCAGAGCCTACGGAAAGAACAGGAGAAACTCTGTCTACGAGTTCAAACACTTGACGGACTCGACGGACCACATCCAGGACTACTGCCGCTACAGCTTCTCTGCTCTTCTTCTTTCGCGGGAAAACGGCGGTTCTGTAGACCAGTCTGCGTTGGATCCCGTCGCTCCAGAGCTCGATAAAGACGAAAAAGAAGAGAAGAAATGTGAGCATAAGACTCTTTGCAAAGGGAGGGAGGAGGACGCGAAATATGAGACGTGTCTTGTAAAGAGCAGGGGAAGATACGAGAAAGAGCAGCATCATCAGGATTACCTTCAGCAGCTGGCTAACAGACTCGGAGTGACGGAGTCGATACAGGAGGGCCACCTACGCTACAGACCTCGACCAACGCCGCCTTCCTTCACTAGGAAGACAAGAGTTGCCGAAGACATCCTCATCTCCACTCAAGAAGACAGGTAAGCCAAGAACACACTGTCGATGCTACGTTGATGTATACTGATACAGGTCTCCGTCTCAAAGTGGGGATCAAACACCTAACAGAGAGCAGCAACAGGTAAACCTGAGACTAAAATCGTTTGCTCTGATCATACAGTACATCTACTTGACCGTTTCAGAGTGGAGAGCAGGTCTCCAGAATGGAGTCTGGTGCACAGAAGAGACCTCACACTACTAACGCTGCCCCAGCTTCCCTGGAGCTCCCCAGAATTCCTCCCCTTTCGTCAGAGAGGAACAAGGATAAGACTTTGTCCACGAGCTCAGTGACAAAGTACCTGAGGATCAGCTCTCGCCCTCGCCACAGTCTCTCCCTTGGTCTGGGAGAGGAAGAATCTGCAGCAGATGTTAGTTCACATGACAGTCTGATGGTACAGTCCACCAATGAGACGATTCAAGAGGAGGAAGAGGAGGTTGAAACTAATGGGGTTAGCGAGGAGACAGACAAAGAAGACCAGCAGAAGTTCCTGTTGGAAGTGTCGTGGAGACAACGTGTGCTGGCAGAGAAGGCCCAGGCTCTGGGGCTTCTATCACGAGACTGGGCCCAGACGAGGCTAGTGAAGAGAACAATTGGGGACTGGGGTACCCACCCTCGACCCTACACCAGAGCAAACACGAGACCTTGTACCAGGACCCACAGTAGGATGAGAGGAGAGACAAACTCAGTGGCGACTACAAGACCATGCACTAGAGAAGATACCACATATGAAAGAGAGGAGTTACGACAGACCAACAGTAGAGCCACTAGCTACAGACTCTCTCAATGGAAAAGATCCGTAGACAACGACAGAACCACATCAAGACCGACAACTCGTGCGAACACGGGAAACGAAAAACTGGAAAAGATTCGGAGTATTTATGAGCCGACTGGCTCAGTTAGGCTCAAGAGAAGCCCTAGCAGAAGTGAACAGACAAGTGTGGGGAAAAGACCAGTCACCAGAGGTGGAGAATCCAACATTGCTAGCACGGCGAGAGAGAAGATGCGACCAGCAACAAGACAGGGGAAGAAAGTCCAGAGAAGATTGGAGAATGACGGATCACAGTACTGGAATGAGGTTCCCAGAATTGGCCATTACATCGTCTCCCAGTCCCATACTGGTACCAGAACGCACCTGAGACCAGGAACCCGGTCAACTGGAGCTGATGAACCAGGCAAAAGCCGACCACCACAGAGGGTTCGACTGTACTCCAGCCATCAGTTGAGACGCACGACTAGAGAGTCAAGACATCCATCTTTTGAGATTAGTGGACATGTACACAGACAGAACGGATATTCACAATCACACAAATGTTAGAAACAAAATCATAATGGCTTCCAACAATAAAGTGATGGTAAAAGAGGTGGCATGCATGATATATATATACAAGGTCAGCGTCGGTCTCTGGAGCGATTTCTATGACGATGTTTGTGGTGTCCGTCCCTTTCCCTGCTTCTTGATCTTGATCTTTGTCTTTTCTCCTCCTTCCTCTCTCTCCTGTCTCCTTTCTCCTTCTCTCTCCTGCCCCCTTTCTCCCTCTCCCTCCCACCGCCCTCCCGCCTCGTTTCTCTCCCCCTTTCCTCTCTCCCTCTCCTCTCTCCCTCCCTCTCCCCGCCTCTACTCCTCTTGGCTCTCCTGCTCCCACCCTCAACATCGAAAACCATCTCGTAGCCATCTCCTTTCGTCTGAGATTTTGGAGCAAACCGGTCTGCAAGTGACTCTTTCTCAGAAGATAGCTTTCTGTGACGAACTCCTTTGACTTTTGCGAGAGACTGGCAGAAATCGACGTGGATTCTCCGATCGTCAATCAACACGTTATCCATCTTGAAGTACGCCTTGATGCAGTCTTCTTCATTTTCGAATTCAATGAACGCGTATTGCAGGGAGTCCCCCGTTTTTTGGTCCTTGATGACTTCGCATGTCAGGATGGCGCCAAATCGCGAGAAAATGATTTCCAAATCCTCGGCCGTCGTGGCTGGGTTTAGCTTGCAGACAAACAGTACGTTCTCTGGAGGTTTTGCGTCAGCGTCGGGAATGTCTCCGACCATTTCTAGGATCTGGGCATTTGCCTGCGCCTCTTTCTGGCCCATTATCACTCTCACCTCTTCCTCCGACTTGCCCTACAGTAGGGAGAGAACCAAGATGACTGTGTGTGTCTGTTGTGTGAGCGGAGAGAGAGAGAGAGAGAGAGAGAGAGGGAGTGCGGTGTTGACCTTGAAGTCATCAATGTCTTCTTCCGCTCCAATTCTGTTGCTGTCAGTTACTTCTTTGGGAGGACTGGGGGATCGCTCAGGGGCCACAATTCCTGTCATCAACAAACACATACTCTACTGTACCGTGAATTTTGGCCAAGTTCCGATGCCTCAATTCAACAGTGATCTACTGTGACTTACAAAATACCTTCAAGATCGGGAAACGGGTCGTCCAGAATAACAGTGTGGTATATCCGGATGTCCTGGAATGGATGGCCGTCCTTGTCACAGTATGCTTCGTTTATCTTGCTGAGAACATCGAATCCCTCTGCAACCTGCAGCACCCACACTATCAGTGATACAGGCTTAGCTATAGGTTCTCAAGAGCCGGTGTACCTCTCCAAATACCGTGTGTTTCCCGTCCAAATAACTGAGGTTCTCTCGGAGAGTGATAAAGAACTGAGAGCCATGTAGCCCACTGCCGTTGTCCACCATCGAGACCGTCCCCAGCTTCTTGTGCTTGAGTCTCGGACTCACCTCCGCCTCGAACATGTTGTATTCCTCTCCTCTCACCCGTCCCCAGATGCTCCGGCCTCCCTGCCCGCCGCCCACAGGATCCCCGCTCTGAGCGATGAAGTCTCGCTGCACGGAGTGAAAGAGGCAGAAGTTGTAGAACTTTATCTTGCACAGCTTGAGGAAGTTGAGGCTGCATCTGGGTCGCTCCTCCGTGTACAGGTCGATCACAATGTCTCCCAGCGAGGTCTCTACGAGAACCGCCATTTTAAAACATAAACGGAGGGAATACGGTTATCCGTAATTTTACACTTCGCGTAAACGGAGGAGTCCGTAAGTATACGAACGATGCAGTGTGGTAGATTGAGGAAAGCAGTGAGACCAGTGGTTCTGTCTCTATACAGACAGCCACACCCACTGCCTCTCTCCTCAAGCTGTCTCTACCGACATGCCAGTAGTTCTACCAAGAGAGCTCACTGGAGCCGGTTCAACAGAGGTGCCATACTTGGCTCGCTGGGCAGTGTGGCAGGCCTAGCCACTGCCTTTCACTGCTACACCACCAGCACAGTGTATTGCAGTCACTCCGCCCCCACCTCTTCCCTCCCTCGCCTGACTCTCTATGAGTATCCATCTTGTCCGTTCTGCGGGAAAGTGAGGGCATTCTGCGACTACAACAACCTCGACTACACGGCAGTCAGCGTCAACCCAGTCTCCAGGAAAGAGATCCAATTCTCCAAGAGCAAGAAACTGCCTCTCATTGTGGTAGACGGTGAAAAGGTGTGTGAGCGTTAAAGGGTGGCTGCAAGTTTCGGAACTACAATTGGTCCCAGTGCAAGAATGCAATTTTAAGTTAGTAACATTTGCTTTTTGAAAGTGCGGGTTTCACATCGTCTGGAAAGCGGATCCTTTAAATATCGCAATCAATGCTTCTTTCTTTACTCTTCCTTGACTGTTGTGCTAATCAAAACCACACATGGTTATTATCGCCACCTCCAGTTTGTCATCTTTTCATTCAACTATTTGCCCTCCAAATGCTAAGATCCAGGACTCTAGTCTGGTGGTGAGTGTCCTCCAGACTAGCATGGAGCGTGGACTCAGTGTGGCAGAGTGCCTCAAGTTCTATCCTCCGGTGAACGTCACGACAACGGAGGGCGAGAACACCACGGAACGCGGCAACAAGTACTTCATCATGTACGGGGAGGAGTCCCAGTCCAGGGGTTTGGGACAACTCAGGTATACTATATACTATTACCTCTGAATCAACTCTGATTACTGATTCAACATGCTAGTAGAGCAAAAGTGTATAAACTTGAACTACTCTAAACTTATCGTATATACCACTCTTACACTCAGCATGCCAGGGTTTTTGTTTGGGGGGTTGCCTCTAATATTGTCTTTCCCACTTAATCACAGGTACAATAAGATCAACTATTGACATAGTGCCCTTGAATGTCCTACTGAATGAAATTAATGTGAACTCAGTTTCTTGTTGGTCAGCAGAGAGGAGAGGGAGTGGAGACAGTGGGTGGACGATGAGCTGGTCCACACTCTCCCGCCAAACATCTACCGCAGTCTCTCTGAGGCCAGGCAGACCATGACGGCCGTCTCTGGCAAGTCCTCCATGACCATCTTCCAGAGGTTCGTCGCAAGAAACATCGGCCCCGTGGCTCTCTACTACATCGGGAAGAGGAACATCAAAAAGTGAGTAAAAGATCCACTGCTCAGTGCCTCCATTTAATGAGTTCCATGATAAGTTGGAAGTTCTTGTATTCGAGAGCTGTGGTTCTGGCTGCAGGTACAACCTGAAACCAGATGCGCGGGAGTCCCTTTATGATTGCTGCAATCAGTGGGTGGAGGCCATTGGGTGTGACCGACAGTTCATGGGCGGAGCCACGCCCAACCTTGCCGACCTGGTAACACTCAAAACTCGAGGGAGAGAATTTCATTGGTTTTGAGCCGTCTGCTAAAGTTTATCCTAACTTTATGGGCATGGATTTTTGCTTAATGACTATACGCAAATCCTCTAAACTGTGAAAGTGTTTCTCTCTAAAGTTTCTCTCTTGCTAGATGGTAGAGTTGTCGTGATCCTGTCTCTGGCCTCCTCCTCTCTGCAGGCTGTATACGGTACGCTGAGTGCCACCGAGGGTCTCGCGACTTTCACAGACATCCAGACACACACCAAGATTGGTCCGTGGTACTCCGCCATGAGAGAAATCGTCGACACTCCACCCCCCATGACTTAATAACTACGTAGTTGCACTTCAAGATTGAAAAAATTTTATTTAATTGAGATGGAAATGATTGTCAATCAATAATAAGCAGTTAGACTGGAAATGAATGGAAAATGTACAGGAAATGAATAGAGAATGGTATTTAGATGTGAGTAGGTCACTCCATTTGGCTGGCCAGAATGTCAGCGATATCAAGAAGAAGCTCTCGCTTCAAGTTTCTGAAGTAAGGCATCTTGACGATTGAGGGGAAAACCCCTGCAATTAACTGGAGGCAGTGTTTCTTCATGACCTCCATGTTGATGTTGTCAGCAGCCTCCAGCATCGGCAGAACGTTTTCCTTGTGAATATCTTTCTCCAGTCTGGCCTTGGAGTGACAGTGGAGCTGAAGATTGCGAAATCCAAAGAAATTGGGGGCCGAGAAGATGTAGAGGCAGTCTTCGGACGGCATGTGTACGTCACCGTAGTACACAAACTTGAGGAGCGAGTTGAAGGCTTGGAGAGTGGGGGGAGTCTTTCCGAACGTGATGTCGACTCTGCGACTCTCTGGCATGAAGGAGCGGAAGAAGGCCTCGAAGTAAGAGCAGCGAGCGGCGAGAATAGGGATGTGGGCAGGCACGGAGTGCTGGTCAACCTGCAGGACAACATCAGTGAACGGGCGTCCGATGTCGCTCAGTAGGAAGGCCTCGAGATCGTCTTGCAGCGAGGATGGGACTCTGTCTTCCAGCTCCGAGTGGAGATCGGGCGAGGTCGGGCGCGAGCGGAACTGCTGCCGACGAATTATCTGAACCATGACGGAGCGATCGAGTTTCTCGAACGAAGAGCTCATGATAACCTTACGGTAGTTCGAGTCTCGCACTATGAACCGCATGCAGAATTCCCTCATTCGAGCCAGCTTCAGCTCGGACGCACTGCACAGGACCAGCAGCACGTTCTCGAGATTGATGGAGGCCTCGATGTACTGCATGCTGAGGAGCTCCAGTCTCTTGGTCTGGAAGAGAAGCGCCAACTTGTACACCTCCATCATCAGTAGCATCTGCTGAGCCGTCATCCCGTCTCCCGAGTTGTTCTCCAGGTGAGGGTGGATGCAGTCTGTGTACATGGAGAAGAGAGCCATGTTGAACGCCTCGGCGCTCACCTCCGGCAGGGGAACCTCTAGCGGGTGGGTGTTCTGTGTGAACTGGGGGTGATCCCGAGGTGGCGTAGAGGTCTGCTGCTGTCGGTAGATCTCAATGATCTTGTGCCGGAGGTAGGGCGAGCGAGAGGCGACAACCGCCGCGTGGGCCTTTATGATGACAGTCGGCGAGCTGAGGAGGAAGTGGACGTCACAAAACTGCTCCGTTCTGAGGAGACGGGCAAAGTCTTCGACGAGCGTGCACTTTGGGAATTGGGAGAAAGAGAAGCAGAATAGATCCCCGCTGCGACTGGAGACTGAGTCGATCGTCCCTCCGAACACATAGAGACAGTTGCCCCAGACTGCGGCAGAGTGGAAGACTCTCCCACAGGGGGTCTCGCTCCCCTCGGCCGGCTGGATTACACTCCACATCCGAGAGTTTACGTCGAAGCAGTGTACCTCGTTGTCGAGGATACCATCCGCCGCGCCACCAAAGACATAGAGACAGCGACCGTATGCCACCATGGCGTGGCCGTATCTACGCTGAGGCGGGCACGGGGACCCGCGCAGCAGGTGCTCCGTGCGAATCCTCATCCACTGCCTCTGCCCAAACTTGAACTGGTAGAGGTTGTTGGTGATCTTGGCTCCGCTCTGACCGGAGAAGACGTACATGCTGTCGTCCACCACTGCCACGGGGAAGTTGCAGCAAGTCGGAGGGCTATCGCCACTCTGTGGGATCTGCTCCCATTTGGGCTGATCCGAGACGAGGTCAATTGCCCACATGTCATTCAGCCTCATGTGTCCGTCGTACCCTGCAAAGATCCAGAGCTTGTTCCTGAAGACGGCCGCCCCATGCGCCGAGCGGGCCGGCGGGAGCGCCCCTGTGATCTTGTCCTCCCAATTGATCCACTGACTGGTGGTGAACTTGTACTCGAACAGGTCGTTCTTGTTGCGGAGGTTGGAGTTGGAGTATATGTCGCCCGTGTATCCGCCGAAGACAAACATGCTGTTACGGAAGACGACTGCAGAGTGGTGGTATCTGGGTGCTGGAGGCTGGCCTGCACAGAGAGAGAGCACAGAGGGGAAGTAAAGTATACAGCGATGCGGTGTATGTTTTGGTTTGTTTGTTGTGCTTTACATCCGAGGCCTCACCAGTGAACACAACACGAGCCCAGGAGCAGTCCCGAATGTGTGAGACCAGAAAGTCGTTGAGCATTCGCCGCCCGTTGTCTCCGCCGAACACGTACATCTTCTCGTTCCAGGCCACGATGGTGTGCTTGCTGCGCTTGGCGCCCACGAACTCTTCGCAACTGGACAGCTTTCTCCAGCAGTTGACAGGTTGGAAGGAGGGTCCGAAATTGAGCGTCAGATCCCCGTCCCCCAGCTCGACTTCATCACGCCCCAAGTCGCTCCCGTCCCTGCTCTCGCTTTCTCTCTCCTCCACTTCGTCCCAGGAGGCTTCATCGGACGGCGGGGAGGCCATGTCGGTGTCTCGTTTCTCTCCCCTCCGCAGTGCGCGGAAGAGCAACCGCTGGCTTGCGGTTTTATATGACGAAACCGTTACTAAAATTAGAATCGTTCTAAAATTAAATTAATGGGATTTTGACTCTAAATAGCAATGATTAGTCGGCAGCTGATAGCTATATAGTCCAAACTAGGCAGTTCGCAGAATGAGATGAATCCCTGAATCCGTGAAGACTGGTTGACTCAGCTCTCCAACTTGCAGAGCATACGTCGCCTCTTCAAACGGCTCTGGAATGAATGGGAAAACTTAATCACACAGATGTGGGTGGGCAAACTGTTGCTCACTTTGCATTTGCCCTCGTCCGAATATCCCTAAGTCCCCTCCCTTGCGAGCACTGCTGCAGTCACTCTCCTTGGAGGCCAGCTCTGCGAACTTGACCTCTTTCGACTCCAACATCGCCCTAAAGTCTGAGTGAAAGAACAACAATGTGTGTGTAACTTAGCGAAATACGAGATCATGGGATCATCAGTGCCTACTTTTCAAGATCTCCAATGCTTCATCTTTGGAGCGTGTGATCTTCTCCTGTTTCCATGAGGACGGTCTGCGAGACTGGGCGTGCTTCACCAGCAAGTGGGACGCCTGGACCTACACAGCATCCAGAGCACACAGGAATTCCCATTTCCGTGTGGAGAAAGGCCAGGGTTTGTTTTTTGCTACCTGTCCAGCTGGTGGTTCTATGGGTGTTTCCCACACGCTGGCGTCTGTGTAGATGTTGTAGTAGTACTCTTTGCCAGAGGAGCGTGACTGACGCCTCTCCCAGCCTGCTGGCAAATCCGACATCTCTTTCTCCTCCTCCTTCCGTATACGCGCGCGTGCGTTTAATACGCGCCGTATCAATTACGCATGCGCACTGTCCCCACATCTTTTGTTCAAAAATCTTTATACAAGAGTGAATATTTGGGGACATTAGCGGGGTCCAGCGGACTAGTGACCATCAACTTTCCCTTCATCGCTCCTCTGAAAATCACCTCCACCACATCAATGAAATCCTGAGAATTTCTGAAGCTCCCAATAAACTTTGTATGGTCTGGGGTGCTGGTATATACAAGATGCACACAAAATGATACACTTTAGAAAGAGGGAGAAATTGTACCTCCAGTCCACTTTGATGTGTTGGCCATTGAAGAAGAAGATGGTGGCAGGGATGAGGGTGATGTCAAAGTAACTCGTGTACACCGGAACAGCATCCACGTCTACTATGAACATGTCTGCCATCTTGGACACCTTCATCTGGTTCTTGGCCAGCTAAGAAAGAAATCGGCCCTTTAGAACTCTTCTGAATAGCACTATGCACCGATATCGGAGCAATACACTGCCGTAGCTAACTGATTAGGATAGTGGGGGATACTTATACCCTGTCACACTTCTTCCACCACTAACAATCTCGTCTAACTGCAAGCACACTGCGTCCGTTTCCCGGCCAAACCTCAGCACAAGAACCTTGTCCACGGTGGATTTGATGGCCGAATCCACGTCTTTCTTCGTTAAGAGCCGTGGGAGAACGTAGGCCATGTTTCGTGTATGTCTCTAGAGCAAGGATGCTGAATCAGCACAAATAGGCTACCGTTGACCTTTGACCCAGTGTTTTCAAATTTTGCCGCGAGCTTTTCTGCTGCTCGCTGCAATGGCTGTTCCCGGCGCTTCTCGCAGCAAACAGACTTGGAAAAATAACCGAAAGAGGAGCCTCTACGTACGTAAACGTCCTCTCTGTCTCCTTTACCATTTGTGAACTGTATCGCTCGCTTTTTCCAATAAATGCGCACCATAGGTGGAACAAGGGTTTGCTGGGTTTATTTTCTACCGGAAGAGTAAGAACATCTGCGAGAGAAAAGAGGAGCCCTCGCCTGAAAATGAGGATGGGAAACTGACAGACACCGAGAAAACTGAGTCTGTTGCACCTGTAGTGGTAGGTGTTACTGTATAATTATTTATATATACAACTTCGTGCAAGCATTCTGGGTGACGTATATACTAGTGCTAAAGTACAGTCTCAGTGTACTCTGTAATAGTCCCATGTATGCATAAGTATTGCCAGAAGTTGTTTGTCTGTGCATTGTCACAGGATGAGGAAGTGGCAGAGAGTGAAATGAGTCCTCTCACTGACGAACAACTGGAGGGTGAGTTCGTTTCAGGTGTTGGTGATGATTCAGTGATACACTGACTTCACTGACAGGGCTGGTGGAGGTCAAGCGTTTTGTTGATCAGCTCAAGAAAGAGATTCGAGCCAAAGGACTTTGCACTCCAGACGAAAAACGTGAGTCTGCCCCCATTCTTCACTAATAGAGTTAACTCTTTTCCGGAACTCTTCATTGTATACATAGAGAGTGTAAGATGATAGAGCAATGGAGGAGTGAAGTAGACTAGGAGAGCCCCAAACACAGGCAAAAGTGCACCTAGACTCATGTACATATGTAAAGTGATTGCATACGTTAACCTTAGTACATAAACACCAAGAGCTCACTCTTTCTCTCTTTCTCATTTTCTCCACCTCTCTCTGGTTCTCTCTCCTCCCCCCTCCCAGTGGAGGAGACGTGTGCCACCTTACACGAAGAGCTGAGACGAGAGGTAATCACGGGGTCAGGAGCCTACATTGGGTTATTAGAGGCAGACGAGGAAATCGACAAGTGAGTGTTTGACCAAATTCTGCGAGAGTCTGTTGTAAACCTCTCACCGTTAGCCTGCCACCTCACCCCATGGATACCCAGCTTGTCGAGTCCATCAGACGACTACAGCAGAAGATTGATATGTAAGTCTATGGGAGCACCAACAGTAGCTGGTATATATTCTAAGGAGAAAAATTTGTGATTCAGTGCCAAATTACGATGCCGGACTAAACAGATGCTTGTTCCACTATACGATAGTAGTTACTGGTGTAAACTGAGACATTTGTGAAGGTCCCCCCACTATGTTATTAGCTGGTAATACTGCTATATACAGGTGTGAGAGAGAGACTCAGGAGTGGGAGGAACTGATGGAGACTAAGAGAACTGAAGCACAAGCGACAACTCTGTGAGCTACAAAATATCGTATCACTAAAGAAGTTTCACGAACATGGCCAGGCAGAAAGTGTCCCACACAATAGTGCAGCGATTTTTCATAAGTGAAAGATATTCTGTTGTTCAGAGTTGGTGTATGTGCATGTGAGCCAATACCGCATCTTCTCTCTGTGTGTGTGATGTAGGGATCTTGAGAACGATCTTGGTTTGGATCTGAGTCGACTGTGTCAAGAGGACGAGGTCAAACTAGCGACTCACCTCTCCCCGGAGCCCCGGAGGTTGCTGGAGGGTGCCACCAGGGAGAGGGGCGACCGAGACTGGGAGAGAGTCATGGAACAGGACATCAGGATCGTGGTAGGACCTGAACAACTGACTCCACAGGCAAACCTTCATCTCTGTCTGTCTCTGTACAGAGCTCTCACATTGATGGGGAGCTGGAGAGGATCCACACATACTGCGACAGTGTTCTTCAGAGGTGTTCAGAGGAAACTCATCGTGAGTTGAAACACTTCACTTCTCACCCGCACATCCTCTCCTTCCCATTCTCTCTTCTTTCCTCCCCCTCCCTCTCTTCTCTCTACCCCTAGAACTTGGGTTGGTGACAGATCTACCAACGCAGACACCGAGAACTCTATTCAGAGCTCTCAAAGAGACAACACACTAGGTCCACCTTCTCTCTCCCCCACTCAACTCCCTCCCCTATTCTCCCTGTATTTTCGTATATGTCTCTCTTGTGAGAATGCGATGCACCACTACAACCCTCCACCCCTATAGTTGCCTAGTTCAATTGTTTCTGTTCTGTTCTCGTGCAGCTGTGTTTTGCCAGCACCACACTGACACACAGCTTACGCTCACTCTCTTCAACAAAGTGTTCTACATAAGTGGTCCATTGTGAAGCGAGGGTCACATGGTGTATGTACAACACAACCCTTATAGATGGTGTGGTCATGCTTCTGAGCCTCATACTGAAACTTTTCATGAGATAGCGCTATCACATCGTACACACCCCTGCGCCCCCGCTAAACACACAGATAGTGATAAAAACTCGCTTATTCACAAAAGATTATGGAGAAGAGGGGAAGGAGTTGGGTGAGAGAGTGGTGTGTTTAGCACGCACTACATACGTGCACACACAGAAAGAGTGGTATAGCACATGTGGACACTGTCTGAAATGTGGCATTAGAGGTGCACAACCCTAGATCACGTGGTACTGGCTATTGGCATTACTTGCAGGTGGGCAGGTCTTCCCATGATGTTGGCTGGGTAGATGGGTCTATTTTTGGGAGGCTGGTGTCTCGTGGGCGAAAGACCGCTCAGCAATCGGGTGTACACGTCCTCCAACATGTTGTGTCTCACTTCCCAGTAGGTGGGGGGCTCGGTGCCATATGGTCGGACTTGCCCACGGTAGTTCTCGCATGTGAAACACAGAACGTGGTACAGTTGGATCACGTTGCTTCTCTCCAGGTAGTAGCGAAGAACCACTTCGTTTGTGGCCACGTTGTATACGGAGAAGCGGTAGAGTTTCATGAGCTCTCCCGGACAGCTGCTCTGATGGTTCCCGTAGAAGGGGACGGGCTCAAAGAACTGGGCACAGTCTATTCGGAACTGTCTCTGGTCCACTCCCACTGTGAGGGGGATCCTCTCACGGACAAAGGCGTTGCAGGTGGAGCTGGGCAGGAGACGCGGCCCCCAGTAGTTGCGCAGGGTCACCATCTCACTGACAATGGTGTCGGCCTCTCTCCTGCTCTCCGGGTCCCCTCGAGACGACAGAGCCGTCAGGTGGAGCTGGCACTCCATGTAGAGGCGGTCCATGAGTGCCAGGAACTCTGACGTGGGCTCCTCAAACTGATCCCTCCACCGATATGCCTTGGATAGTTGCTCCATCGTCTCCTTGCCTCTCTGGGTCATTGCTGTGAGCCCTCCATTACCGTAGACAGCCGTGGAAAGATTGCCCGTGCTATTCCCCGACCGCGAGACACGGATGATCCCGTCAGCCTCAACCGGACTCCCGAACATCAACGAGTTCTGTTTGTTCATCTGGTTGAGGTAAGGCGGCGTCTTCGCTAGGCCGCGGTGTCCGTTGTTCAGTCCCCCGCCTCCTCCTAGTCCCCACTGTGTCCCGCCGGGGTCCCTACCTATGCCGTGCTGCTGCGGACGACGATTAGAAATGGGTTCCGTGTGCCTATGGCTGCCGGAGCTTTCGGAACCCGTGCTTCCCTGCGAGCTGCGCAGCGTCTCCGTCCGCGCGCCGTGTCTCCTACTGCTTTTCTCGTGTGGCGCCGCGTCCACTACTGCCGGGTAGGCGGTGTGTTGGTCCTGCACGGCCGACACCGCGTTTCGATCCCCACTTCCATCTGGTGGTACCCCCGGTCTTCTCTCAGGGGAGGGAGAATCCGAGAGCCTCTCTATGCCGTAGCCGTTCCCGTGAGCTGTTCCGTTGGCCAACAGCGTGCTCTGCTCGCTGGTGGCGGCCCCGCTGTCAGAGTCCTGCTCGCTGCTCACAGTCGTCGGAGAGGAACTTATCTTGCAGCCCATGACTACACACACCTGCTGACCTGATCACCTCATCTCGCCGTAAAAAATCCCCGACTTTATAACTACGTACCCCATAATTTTACCAACACCGACTTCACGTGATCGCATGCGCATGCGCGCGCAGTCAGCGTCGCAAAACACACAGCAAACCAAAAGAAGTGCTCTGCAACGAAAAATGCATGAAAAAGTAGGCAACTAGCATTAGTGTGTAAATAAAGTCTGAGCAAACTGTTTGTAGTCATAAGCTCTGTTGACTGGCCTTCCATTGGGTGCTACGTACGCCTTCATTCTCCTCATACAGTAGATAGCTTGCTCTCTGGGCAGTGCCTGTATATAGTGTGTGTGTTTGTGTATGTGTACATGGGTTGTTGTATGCATATTTAGTTGTATTTGTAAAGGATGTGTTCACATGTCTTTTCAAGTCAACAGTAGTTTGTGTAGCCATTTCTGGCCCTGATTTTCTGTGACATGTCAACTAATTGGGGAAAACGATATTGAAAGTGACATAAGTCCTAAGGACGATATTGAAAGTGACATAAGTCCTAAGGACGACATTGAAAGTGACATAAGTCCTAACGGATGTTTGTTAATGCTGAATGACCTCTGTTTTGACACTACCCAATGAAAAGAGGATTCCTTCACACACAGTTACAGAGTGCCAGAATTTCGGTGGAACCTCTGACAAAATAAGCTATAAAGGACACTATGGTTATACTAACATATTAGTGTGTTATTCCCCCTCTGAATGCTGGACACCTGAATTTTCGGTAAGTCCCCAAGGCATCATTATTCATAGATTCCACTTTACCTGAAGCAGTTCCTCTTCAGTTACAAATGGTTTGTCTCCACCGGAAGTGATGGCCTGAAACGCGCTCTCCACTTCCGTCATACTCCCCACATTTTCCGTCTCGCGGCTGATCATGAAGGACATGTAGTCCTCTAGTAGAATGTACCCATTCCTACACAAACGTTGGTGAATTGTTGCAATACTACTGAACTATTATTACAGGTTCATACCTGTTGGGATCGACTTGATCGAGAACGGCCTCAAATTCGGGATCAGTCTCTCCACTCTCTAGCAGGGCCAGGTCATAGCCAAGGGAACGGAGACAGGACTTGAACTCCTGGTGCTCCAGCCTCCCGTTTCTGTCCTTGTCAAAATGCCTGCATATTATACCCACACAAGGGACGATTGTTTAAATCTGCCACGTCGAAATGTAGGCCCCCTCCTTAGTTATTTGCACTCTACTGGTGGTATAGCTATATATGGTGGTAGTTGGTTTGTCTTTCCTCACATGGATAGGGCACCCTACTTCACAGTCACTCAGTATTGGACAGTATTGGTCTATATGTGATTTACCCAGATTCTAGTTAGTTATTGCAATTGGTATAATGTGTGAACCTGAAACTGGCGGTGAACTCCTTGAGCTGTTCCTCTGAGACCCCGATGGTGTTCCTGGCCTGAATCTGCTGCTCCAAGTTGTGCTGCATCCTCATGGCGCTCTGTGACAGCTGGTCCCACTGCTGAGCCAGACTCACCGTTGTGTGCTCCGTGTATCTGGAACAATACATACGAGTTGACGCAGTGGAAATCCTCTTGCAGGACACCCCTGAAATAAGGACACCTTTCCTTCCCTAGAACAGCTTCTTGCTTGCAATTTAACCCTTTAAAAAAGGACAGCTTGCTAATAATGAACAGCGGAATCCCTCTAATCCAGACACCAATGGGGATCTTTCATTATTAGGGAGCCATGCATATTTCAGGGGCTAAATTGAAAAAATGTCTTGGGGAAAGATATCTATCTGTATAGTTCCAGACACCATCTGTTATGGTGCCTGGTATATTTGGGGGAGATGGTGCACTGATGGTGCACGAGAGAGATGGTGAACTGAGTGCTAGGGGGAAAGGTGGCTACTGACTTGTTGTCAAAGATGAGAGCCTCCTCCACCTGTGCTCCCAGGTCCTCCATCCTCCTCAGTGCCTCCTTTCTCTGGAGAATGGTGCCTATTGTGCCCTGCAGAGAGAACACACACACACACTGCACTGTTTAGGTACACTGGCAAACAGGTGCTTTTAGCTTCAATCACTTGATGAACACAGTGCTTTATCTGCTATGCACGTGGTTAGGTAAAAACAATGATACTGGCCGATGTTCAGTGCTGGGAGCGTTTATTCACAGCCCTCAGCATCACCCACAACATATACATTCATAGAGTAGTTATCGTCATTCCTACAGACATGAATTCATCAACCACTGTTGAACCAGCACTTCAATATGTGTCCATTGTGGTGGAATTTAACCCCAGCAAAGTAAGTCGGACTTTCTCCCTAAGGATGCCCCCGAAATGAGGACACTTATTCAGTATGGACACCATTTGATTCAGCAGTTTAACACTTGAAATAAGGACACCTCACTGCTTCTCTGCATACCTTTACTGCCTCCAGCTGCTCCTCAGTGTTCCTCTACCATCCATGAGAGCTGTCCTGGTGTCAGTGAGCCAGCCATGGAAAGAGTTGGTGTGTTGTGCAAACGACTTTCTCAACTCCTCGTTCCTCTCCTGCCTCTTGACCTCCCTCGCCAGCTCACTCTCCCTCTCCTAGATCCAGGGTCGTGTGACAGTCAAATGTCGAATCAATGATGAAAGGGGTCCCCCACCTTGATCAGTCGCTGGAGATTTTGCCAGCTTTCCTCCAGAGCCTCAAGAGTGAACCAGGTGTACCTGAGGGGAGGTACAGTGAAGGGAGGAGGTGTAAGATGCTATATACTCACGGGTTGCTGGAGACGCTGTAGGATTTGATCTGGCGGTCAAGTGCCCCCAACTGTTTGAAGTCGGAGCGAGCCTGCGCCAAGGAGCTCTGGAACAGTGCGTGCGCCTCCCGTAGACCCTATATACGGAGGAATCACAGAATGAGATTGTGGAAATGTTAATCTCAGTTAGCTAGACCCCATTGAAGGTCTGAGACAATAGAAACGTGGGCTATACCTTGATTTCCTCCAGGGAGTTGCAGCGGACTGGGTCGGTGAGGTCCTCCTCTGCTCCCTCCATCCACCCATTGAAAGACGAGGCTTTCCTGGCAAACTGGAGGTACAGCTCCTCGACCTTGCATTACACGAGGGTCATGTGCTGTCACATGACTCAGAGAGTGTACCTTGTGGCACTGTTCCAGCGCCCTCTGGAGGCGAGCCTTGTGAGCCTCTGAATCTCTCCTCAGTCTTTCCCATCGTTTTACGACGTCACCGTGACGCTGCTCTATAGCCTTGCTCTGTGGGTGTGGCCTCGATACGAGGTCATCCTTCATTGTTGTCATTCCACCAATCCCATCAGTTTGAAATGACGACAATCCAGCCTCAAAAACCTCCTGTCAATGAGATGCTATAAATATAGTATAAAAGTGGTAGTGTATGTGTGTTACATGTTTAGTGAGCAGAGCCTGTACAGAAGTCATGTCTTTTGCAACCTCCTCTCCCCTCACATGTCCTTCTTTGTTCTCTGTTGGAGATGCACAAGAGCTTGTCACGTTGGACAATCCGCGGATTGCGCGTCCCACTCACTGATCCAGGACTCCACCAGGTCTGCCTTCCAGGTAAACTGGAGGTACTGGGAAGAGTCGTGGAGTCTGGCCCTCCGCTTGTCTGAGGTCTGACGCAGCTCGACCACCTTTGCCTGTGAACAGCGGAAAAAGATAGTTGAGAATATCACGGTGTGTGTCAGTTCGTTGTCAACCTGTGCTCCTGCAAGTCTGTGGTTGATGCTGTCACTCTGATGGTTCCCCTGTGGTACACAAAGATATTATTATTTCATATTACACTCGTTTTAGGCATGTCCATGCTTGCTTTCTCAAGCCACACTGATCCACATAAATATGCAAATCAATCTTCTCTTTTAACCGGACAACTAATGCACTGAATACTTTTCAGGAAAAAACCTTCTCTGGCTCAATGTTAGTGTTCTCCCTCACGCAGAGACACACGTCTGTTATCCTCACCTCCTCCACTAGTTTCTCTCCCTCCCTCTCGATCATAGCCACCCTCTCTTGGTGGGTCCTCAAGTCGGCCTCGAAAGCCTCGTGTTTCTTCACCAACACTTGCACCGCAGCCAAAGTGTCTCCCGCTTCCTCGCTCGACACAAACGCCGTCTTCTCGTTGAGCCATGCCTCCTCTTCGTCCACCTCTACACAAAACCTCTGGTACAGTAGAGACTGACTCAGTTTCTCTTTCCTATAACAAGTTATAGCAGTCGTAGTATACAAGGGAGCACGGAAAAGATTTATCCCACGGGCATGCCTCATGCAATACAGACAACTTTGTATTGCCAAACAAAGAAGAAGAGGAAGAGACGGTTTAGTTGACTGGGATACAGAGGAGGACACTGACCGAAGTCTTGCAGCGCTGGTCAGCTCCTCCCAGAGCTGCCTCATCTGGGCACAGCGATCAGAGACGGCAGCAGCTGCTGACGGCATCATCTCCCCCAATTCTCTACCTCCTGCCAGAACCACCTAGTAGGGTGGGTATTATAGGAGACAATGGCTTTTGACAAATGAATGAATTTGGGGTGGGCATGGGTTAGTACCTCAAGTCTTGGCTGGTGGCTGCTGAGCTCAGACCCCAGTCGCGAATGTTTCTTGATCAGATTCTGGACCCCGACCAGATCCCTTCCAAAGTTCTCCCCACTCATCAGCAGCCGCCTCTCCCTGCATCATGTGACAACATGTGATCCTCACATGATGTCATTGATTCTCTCACCTGGTCCACGCCTCCTCTTCGTCCATGTCTCTGTAGAACTGATGGAGTCGTAGCGAACGACTTAGACCCAATTTCCTCTCCTCAGCCAACTCCCTCAACCTTAACATAGACAGTCACATGACAGATCACATGATCAGGATATGTCACGTGACTCACTGAGTGTATCTCTGATTAATTCTCTCCTGTTTCTGCCCGATGCTCACCACATCAAAATGATTCTCTCTCACAAACCTCTCCGCTTGTGCGTTCACATCAGCCACTCGGTCCTGCATTAAACACCCAAGGGGTATGTAGCCCAGCCCCTGTCATCAAGGAGCTATCAGACTGACCTGATGGGCAGCAATGTCTGCCTCCACTAGCTGCTGTTTCTTTAGCATGGCCTGCACCCCACCAAGGTCTCTGCCAGTGTCGGTAGACGAGAGCTGGGCCTCCACGCCGCCCAGCCAGAAATCCAGGTCACTCACGCACTGGGTTGAGAAACAGGCACAATGATGACAGGGGTTTACAAGTGGCAGAGTCTCGTGCCACACTCACCTGGTTAAACTGCTGCTGCTGGTTGGCCTCTCTCAGTCTCTGTGTCTTGTCCCTGATCCTCTCCAGAAGCAGCTCCCACTCAGTTGACAGGGTTTCTGTCATCTCCTCCACCTCTTCCTCCCTCCCCATGCACTCATGGTTGCCTCTCAGAGCTGGAGATAAAGATGACAACTAGCCGTGAAGGGGGAAAGACAGGAAGAAGATAGAGAGAGTGGCTGACTTTCTCCCATGGCAATGGCAGAGAAGATCCTCTCCTTGTTGGCCACCACTTCCGCCTCGAATGCCTGATGTTTCTGCAGCTTCTCCTGAACCATTAAAACACACTGTGTGTAATAGAGTCACAGATACCCTCCATAATACACACTAACAGGCAGGTCTGTTGGGTCTTTGTAAGAGTCTTCGCTGGCCACCTGCATCTTCACCTCCACCCAGGCCTCAGCTTCGTCTGCCTCCCTCTTGAACTGCTGGAAGCTGAGGGACTGACCCAGCTTCCCCCGCCAGAGCGCCAACTGGGACTTCAGCCGTGACCAGCGGGCGAGAACGGTCGCTCTTCGCTCTGCTACCTCCACCGCTGCATAGTGCCTCGTCTGAATCAGTCGATCAGCAAACCCCTGCAGTGCTCCAATCTTCTCCTCCTATGAAACAGAAAGATAGAATGAGTGAGTGGATCAGAGGGAAAAGGATTGTAATTAGAAGCAGCACCTGTGCCTGCAGAGATTTGTCCATGTCTTCGTGTTTCTTTATGAGAGCCTCCACGGCGTCAAGTGAGTCTCCGACCTCCTCCCCAGCAAGGAAACTCTCTCTCTTGGCCATCCAGCCCTCCGCTGCCTCTGCCTCGTGATTGAACATCTGCAGATCTCGGCACTGGTCCAGTACCTGCTTCCTAGCCACCCACGCCCTGTGTGTGCACATTCATGACATGTGGAGTGGAACTCTTCTCTAAGGACACCCCGAATAAGGAAACGTCTCTATTTATTCCCCAAAGAACAGTTCTTTTGACCCCCGAAATTAGGAACCTCACTAGTCCAGACACGTCCCATTGGTGTCCAGCATTAATCTTTTGCTAGGTAGTAGCTAGATGCCGGAAACTGACTTTTGCAGAAGGTTCTTCTCTTCCTTGAGGCTGCTCAGTTTCTGCTGGATCTCAGAGCTGGCAAAGTGTCGGCTGGCCAGCTGCTGCTGAGCCGAGGCCTCAAACGAGTTGAAGCCACTCTCTCGTGCCTCAATCTCTATCTGAAGCTCACCTGGTGTCGCTCTAGGAGTCTCTCGGCTCCGCCCACATCGTTAGCGAGCTCGTCGGCCGACACTAGAGCTTGTATGGAACTGAGCCAGGCCACGAGGTCTCGGTACCGGACCAGGAACCGCTGGAAATCATAAGAGTCCACCAGTTTTGTCTTCCGAGCCTCAGACTGAAAAAAAACAGACAAGGTAGTCGGAGATTGGGGTTGGTTAGAGGGGCTCACTCGTGATTTGAGGCTGGCCCAAGCCTCCGTGACCTCTCTCTCCTTCTCTCTGATGGTTCTGCCAGCTGAAGGCTGGGCTCCGTCATCTGTGCAGCTTCTCTCTTCAGTAAATCCACCTGGAGATGTCACACCAAACACTAACATAAGCGCTGTTCAGGGAGAAAGAGTCAAACCTTGTCCTCGAGAGCAGCTAGGTCTCTCTCCAGTCCCTCATGTTTCCTCTGTAGAGCCTGCACACTGGCCAGGTCTCGGCCGTAGTCGTCCGATAGTAGAGCCGTGTCCTTCTCGTTCATCCAACTCTTTGTCTCGTCGGCAGCTCTGACAAACCGTTGGACCTGGTGCGCCGCGTGCAGGTTCCTCTCTTTCTTCTCCACCAGCTGGGCCAGGTCCTCCCAGTGCTGGTTCAAGGTCTGTGGATCATGTGACAGTCACATGACTTTCCCATTGTAAAGCTACCTCGCACCAACCTCAATTAGAATCTGGATTTCGTCGCTGTCAGAGTGTCCCCCCTCGATCATGGCCTCAGCGAGGGAGCTGATTGTCTCCAGTCTTGTCTCTGTGACTGCCATGTCTTTCTTGAAGTCCTCGTGTTTCTTAGAGAGCACCTCCACGTGTTCCAAGTCCTTCACCGCCTCATCTGTACTGGCCAGGGACTCCTGTGAACAGAGAGAGAGAGTGGGGAGAACATAATGTATTATGTGTACAAGAAACAAAGAACTCGGGTCATAATATTGTAGCTATGTGAATGGTACACTATACTAGTACACAATAATCTTTCATACACTAAAGTGTGGGCCAATGTCACATCATGTTGACTGTATAACACAGCTGAAGGAGAGAGCCAGACCTTATCATTGATCCAGTGCTCCAACTCATTGACTTCTCTCATGAGTTCAAACTTCTTCTGCGACTCTGCCAGTCTCTGCTGTCTCTCTCTCCCCAGCTGTTGCAGTCTGTCGATACTTGACCTCCAGCTGTGCCTGTCGCGACCCCACCGAGTCCTCGGGATTGTCGTCTGTTGCCGTGGCAATAAACGAGGTGGGAGGAGTCATAGGAGGAGGTGGGGTTGGTCTTGGACTAGGCGGAGCCTCCATCTTTCGGATATAGTTTGCCGGTACGAAGCCTTGTTTACCATTCAGCTCAACCTTCCACCAGTCCTTATTGCTGTCATTGACTAAAACCAGGACGTCTCCTTTTCGAATGGGAAGCTCTCGACTGGACTTGCCCCTGTAATTATAGAGGGCCTTCACTCGGGGAGGCTCGGAAGGAGGGGAGGGGGGACTTGGTGGAACTTTCACTAGAGGAGATCCTGGCTGGGCTGATGGACTGAACCCCTGGAATTATGTTAAGTGAAGACACATATACTTGGAAAGAATGTACAAACCTTGCACTTTTGGCTGTGCTCTGCGAGAGATTTCATAGTGGCCTGGTAGGATTCAATGTCTGCCATGACAGCCTCATGCTTCTTGAGTAGAGACTACAACCACAGACAGATGGGGAGCGAGAGGGAGTAAGAAGAGAGAGAAAGAGTGAACGTCAGCAAAAGGTGGCTGGTGGGGTCCGACCTGTGCACTGTCTTCGTCCTTGCCGTTGTCACCGCTGCTGACCAGAGGCTCCTTCTCTTTCATCCAGGACTCTGCTTCCTGGGCATCGCTGAAGTACTGCTGTGCCTGCAGAGACCTCTCCAGAGCCTCTCCTCTTGTCTCACTCAGAGCCTGGGAGGGAGGGAGAGAGAATCTTTCATTGGGTGAGGAAGGCCTCTTGCAATTGCACAGCCCAGAATGAGCTTCTGAACCGAGGTATAGTGAGACTGGTCCAGTGTACTAAACACACTCCCAGGCAGAACTATCTTCCTATAAGTTACTACACAGCAGCAGTCCTTACTTTTAGCTGCGTCCATTTGCTGGAGAGCTGGCCAAGTCTGGTGCCAATGTCCTGTGCTCTATAGTGCCCTGCTGACACCATGTCCTCAGCCTCCTTGCTGACTGCCGTGATCCTAGCCTCGTGACTCGCCAACTCTGACTGCAAGAGGTTGTGCTTCTTCAAAAGATTCTGGACTCCAACCAGATCCTTGCCTGCAGTTGTAATCACACTCACACGCCAACAGAGGTGCTAACAAATGACTCACCGATATTTGTGGAGCCAGCAGCTGCCTCTCTCTCCTTCATCCAGGCCTCTTCGTCCTCCAAGTCCCTGAACAACTGCTGGAGCTGATGTGAAGCTGTCAGTCGGGTCTTCTGCCTCTCCAGAGGTCCCTGGAGTCCTTCGTATCTCTCCACCAGCTGTTCCTGTCTGCCCACAATGGATACTGCGTCAAAATGGCCAGACTCTTCAAAGGCCTCGGCCTGCGATGTGAGTGAGTCAATCTGCTCGTGATGAACAGAAATGTCGGTCTCGAGCAGTGCCAGCTTCTTCTGCAGTTTCTGTACCCCAGCCAGATCCTAAGGACAGAGGAAAGAAAATCATAGTTGAAATAGAAAGGAGGGAGACTCACTTTTCCCAGTTCTTCAGAAGATAGTTGTTTTTCCACTTCATCCAGCCACAAGTCAACGTCCTTGATCGCATGCAGGAACATCTGCTGATCCAGAGCCTCCTGTAGCCTCAGACCTTTCTCAGCTGTCATTGCCTCTAGCTGACTCCACAGCTCCTCCAGAGAACTAGACCGAGCCCTGCGTGGTATAGTAAAGATCAAGAGTGGCTCTTCTCTCTACTGACAGAGAGAGTGTGGTGTTGGCTAATACTGACTGGATTGTTTCAGATGCAGAGTGTTGGGCCGAGGTTAGTTGTTTCCCAGTCTCCACTACTCCGTCGATTCTCCACTTGTTGGCCTGGAGCTCTGCCTCAAATGCCTGGTGATGCTGCTGCTTAGCCTCAAGGTTGCTAGGATCCTGGAATTGAAACAGAACAAACATCAACACTTTGTACCGACTGATCAAGTTTACAGGGCGGACGCTGAAAATGTTACCTCCAAACTCTTGTGTTGCTTACTCGGTATGATTCGTCGCTGGCAATTTTGATCTTCTCCTCGATCCAATCTGTGGCCTCCTCAGTGTCTCGTATGAATTGATGGAGGGAAAGAGATGCCTGCAGCTGAGCCCCGCGAGTGCTTGTCTGACTCAGCAACCGGCTGTGATGGGCCAAGACCTAACAAAAGTGGAGAATAATATCTGATTCTCTCTTCCTCTGCCCCACCTCATTTCTTCGACTGTCAACGTCCTCCGTGGCGTAGTGGCTGGCCTGAACAAGTCTTGTCGCCACCTCATCAACTGCCTTCACTTTTTCATCCTGTGCCACCAGACTCTTCTCGAAGTCCTCGTGTTTCTTCACCAGAGCTTCTACTGCATCCAGAGAGTCACCTATATCCTGGTTCCCAAGCAAAGCCTGCAGAAAAACAAACAAAAAAGCACACAGTTTGGGACTCTGTCTCCGTTTTTTATACGTCGCTGACTTCTTGTTTGGCCATCCAGCTGTCTGCCTGATCAGTGTCCCTCAGAAACAACTGTAGTTCCATGCACTGCTCAAACTCTGCCTGCTTCTCCTGCCAGGAGGCCAGCAACGACGCTCTCTTGCTGGCCAGGCTCTGGAGATGAGTCTTGATTTCCGCTGAGGCAAAGTGGCCGGAGGAAAGGAGAGTCTGGCCAAACTGTGAAGTTGCCTTAAAACTGTCTTGCTCCGCATCAATTTCACCCTAAACAAGTGAGAAGACAATGATGAAATTGAAGAGAGTAAAAAGTATAAGATAGCGAAATTGACGATGAAACGTGGAGAATGGTGTTTGAAACCTTTCTCTCTCTGTGACCCTGCAATGTGGCCTCTGCTGACGCGACATCTTTTGCCAGTTCCACTGCAGCGATGAGAGTCTGCATGTCGTGTACCCAGGACTCCAACTCCCTGTGTGGGTGGTGACACACACAACACTCCACCTCTCTCAGTTGGCCACATTTTAGAAGACCTACCGACAGTCTGCGAGAAACTTCTGAAAGTGGAGCGCATCGCCGAGTCTAGTTCCACGCTGAGAGGCCTTTCTTTTGAGTCCTTCCCAGAGACCCACGATCTCTGCCTGTTTGGCGGCTATCTGGTCCGAACTGTCGGGGTGAGCACCCTGCAGCCTCCTTGCCTCTTCCCCCAGTGCTGCCACCTGCAATGGAGCATATGGATGTGAAGTAGGAGAGTAAAAATGTGTGCGCACGCATGGGGGTGAGAGAGAGGGAAAAAACCAGTGTGTGTGTGTGTGTGTGTGTGTGTGTGAAAGTGTATGTCAAACCTTGTCCTCGAGAGCAGCTAGGTCTCTCTCCAGTCCCTCATGTTTCCTCTGTAGAGCCTGCACACTGGCCAGGTCTCGGCCGTAGTCGTCCGATAGTAGTGCCGTGTCCTTCTCGTTCATCCAACTCTTTGTCTCGTCAACATCCCTAACATCACAATCATCCCAACGTCACACAAATCGATCAGTGTGTAAGCAAACCTATTGAACTTCTGTATCTGGTGGGACCCTGCTAATCTATGCTCCCGGTACTTGGCAATGGTGGTGAGGTTTTTCCAGCTCTGAGTGACTGCCTCTTGTCGGCCGTGAATGAATTCGCTGTCCGGATGCCTCTCTCTCTGCAGCTTCTCTGCCAGCGTGTTTACCTCCATCACTCTCGACTCACTAGCCTGAACATCCTGTGACAATCACAGTGTAAAGATTCGTTCAAGATGCTAATGAAATCCCCACTTTCATAAAGTCTGCAAAGTTCTTCTGGAGCATTTCGACGTGTTCCAGATCTTTCCCGAGGTCCTCTGCACTGGCCACTGCCTCTCTGTCTGAGATCCACGCTGCCACCTCGTCGGCCTCCTGAAGAAACTGGGCCCTCTTCTGTGCGTCGATCAGTGTCTGTCTCTTGGAGGCCGAAGTATTGATGAGCTCCTGCCAAAGTCTTGAAATCTGCTCCAGCCTTGCCTGGACATGACAGTAGTGTGGAAAGAGGGGAGGGGCAAAACAAATTCATTAGCAAACTTTGTTAGTCAAAAGTTGCACAGTAGCTAATGTGCTACAAAACTTTTCACACAAAAAACTTTTGACTATTGACTTTTAGAACCATCTTTTATGCACGCAATTACTGAGACACTGCATGTATACGCAGTAAGGTAGGAGTCCATTTACCTTGATGTCGTCTGTAGCAACGTGTTGATGGTCCAGCATGGCGCGGCCTGCCGTCTTCAGAGTGAGGATGGCATTGTTGTGAGCCGCGATCTCTGCTTCGAACGCCTGGTGCTTCAGTATCTTCGCCTGCAAAGTTAAGATCAGATCGCAACTTGCTACGCGGTCATCCCTTAGGGACCAGCCCCACCCCCCTTTTGACGGTTCCTAGGCCTCCATACCGTCACCTACCTGCAGATTAGTTCTGTCCTTGAAAGCATCGTCGGACATGACCTGCATCTTCTCCTTTATCCACGACTCCAGCTCGTCCGCGTCCCGCCGAAATTGCTGAAACTGGCGCGCACCTTCGAGCTTCTCCCTCCGCAGACGCGCCGCCTCTTTGAAACCTTGGTACCTCTCCAAAACCTTCTCCCTCCGCTGGCGCAGCGCCTCTGGATCTTCTAGCCGGCCAGCCACCTGCGATAAGCCTTCGGCCATGGCTCCAGTAGCTACTATATAGCGGTGCAGTAAATCTGCAGCCAAGGATTCGCATGCACAACGTCGTCCACAAGTCCACGCCCACTCTCGCGATAACGAGCGAGTGACGTCACAATTTGGCAGCTCTGGACGTATTATACCGACCGAACGACAGCAACGACAGGAGTGTTGAGAGATGGGACAGTGTGTTTCCAGCCAGGAAGATGGACCAGGGAGAGGCCGTGGGAGGAGAGAGATGCGCGAGGAGAGAAAAAGTCTGATGAGACACGAGGGAGGCTACCCGGAGAGCGAGGACAGAAACGACGATCATCTTTCTTCATCGGGAAGCCATCCTCGGGACGAGAGTGATTTTTCTGTGGGTGGCGGTTTCGGGAGAGAGGGGCAGAACGGTAGGGTAGCTTCACGGCCGGCTATGAGGGAGCTAATGGACGTGGCGGCCGGCGGAGTGACTAGGTGCACCACCGAGCGAGAACTGGAGCCACCAGCGAGGATCACTCTCCCAGTTCAGACTTCAAAGGGTGGCGAGCTGATGAAGGAGCTCTCCAAGGCATATCGGTGGAGGGATCAGTTTGAGGAGCCCACGTCAGAGTTCCTGGCACTCATGGACCACCTCTACATGGAGTGCCAGCTCCACCTGACGGCTCTGTCGTCTCGAGGGGACCCAGAGAGCAGGAGAGAGGCCGACACCATTGTCAGTGAGATGGTGGCCCTGCGCAACTACTGGGGGCCGCGTCTCCTGCCCAGCTCCACCTGCAACGCCTTTGTCCGTGAGAGGATCCCCCTCACAGTGGGAGTGGACCAGAGACAGTTCCGAATAGACTGTGCCCAGTTCTTTGAGCCCGTCCCCTTCTACGGGAACCAGCAGAGCAGCTGTCCGGGAGAGCTCATGAAACTCTACCGCTTCTCCGTCTACAACGTGGCCACAAACGAAGTTGTTCTTCGCTACTACCTGGAGAGAAGCAACGTGACTCAACTGTACCACGTTCTGTGTTTCATGGATGATAACTGCCATGGACAAGTACAACCGTATGGTACGGAACCTCCGCCTTACTGCGATGTCCGACATAGCATGCTGGAGGACCTTCAGCTGAGGCTACTTAACCTTATTTCCCCAGGGGCTCCCCCTGCCCCTCAGCCGCTGGCCGTGACTGTCTTTCCCTCTGCCGCTAGCTTGTCTGCCCAGTCAGGTGACTGAGTGGTAGTCGAGGGAACAGTTGTTCAGGTCCTACAACCACACCATATCTGCTTTCACATCTCTTGTAATCTAACGTATGTTTGTATGTTTTGTGCCAAACACACTGTACAATCTCTTGTATGATCTATGATTGAAGTGCACTATTATAGCATGCACGCGCGCAGCGTGATGTTGAATGTGCGCATGCGCCATAGACGTGTGGCGTTTGATTGTGGCTATGGTCACCGTTAACCCCTAACAAACTGAATTTGCACACGCGGGAAAAGATGGACGATTACAAGGTAAACAACTGAGCAAAATAATAAGCATGGACTGCGGCGCTAGTCCGTTGTTTGACGGCGACCCTCTACTCCGCAGCTGCTGCACATGATCTCAGAGGGTCCGCTGGGTCCTAGTCTACTAGTGAAGGAGAAGACCACGGGAGAAAAGTGCGTCGTAAAACAGGTAGAGTGCACGGACTACACACAGGCGATGCTGGCCTACAATCAGGTGAGGAAAAGGCTCCTCGTAAAAGCGCATCTGTACATATCTAGCTTGATGGTGTGTCCAGGCTCTCCAGCTGCAGAGGCTGGGGTCCCATGAGTCAGTTTGTAGCTACAGGCATTTCTTTGTTCAGTGGGAGAGAGAGGTGAGCCAGTGACAGGAGTAGATATCTCCAGCTATCTTTCTATTAAAACCCAATCCCAGGCTCATGCAGTCTACCTGTGCACTGTGACACCCTACCAGGAGCTAGGTATATTATAATATGTGCTCATTATCCTAATCTAATGGACAAGCTATTACTCCGAAATCTACACATAATATCAAATAATACACACCCGGCCTTAGGTTATAACTCTTCATAACTTTAAACTCTTCATACGTATCTACTACTGTTCTGTGTGTGTGTGTTTTGTATGTACACATGCAGGGAGCCTTAGTTCTTTCATAGAGGCACAGAGAGAAAAGAAAGGGTCAATTGACGAAGAGGTCAGTGGAGATTATAAAACCAGAACCAGTTTTCCAGGGAGTATATCTTCTGCAGGTTCTCAAAAACTGGACGGCTCAGCTGGTGGAGGGACTGTGCCATTCTCACAGTTTAGACCTCTTGCATCGCAATATCAAACTCAGCAACATCTTCCTCTCTTCCCCCACCTCCCTCCTTCTGGGTGAGCCACGACAGAGAGAAAGAGTGTGTTTATTGTTTAATCTTTGCAGGAGATTTCACCGTCCCTGTGGTCATGGAGAACATGAAAGAAGTGGCGTCAAAGAGAGGAGGTTTGTTGTTTTGCGGTACTTATTTCCTCTTCTATCTCTCTCTCTCTCTCTCTTGCAGGTAGTCTCCAGTGGCTGGCACCAGAGGAGATGGAAAAGAGAGGAGAAGGAGAGGGAGAGAGAGGGAGTGAGAAGGGCAGATGTGTGGTCCCTGGGATGTGTACTTATCCAGTTAGCCACCTGCTCCTTCATGGATGTGAGCCACTGTAACACAGCAGTAACCCTGTGTGATGGAGTGGTATCATCGCAGGCCAGCGACTGCTCCGTGCTGTTCCAGAGGTTACACAGAGATCCCAGTGTTCTGGAGGAAGTTCTGGATAAGATAAGACAGGTCTGTCTGTCTTGAACCACTGTCCAGTTTAAATGTGGCAGCGCATAAGGGCTAGATTAATAGACAGTAGGGCCTAGTGCAAAGAATGTAATTAAGTTTCCCCGTTAAATTTCGCCCTTATACTGCCGCATTCCCGTTATGTATCTTAAGTGGAACCTCCAAGTAAAAGACGCACTGGTCCATAAAATGTCCTTTTTAAGCAGTGTCCTTTATTACAGTACCTGATTGAAAAACGTGTCCTTTATTCAGAGTTTCCATCATAGGAGTACATCTTAACATCAATGTTCTCATTCAGGTGTACTCAGGAGATGTGTCTCAGTTGGTGGAGAGCTGTCTGAGAAGATCAGTGGAGCAGAGAGCATCTGTCAGGTTCATTAATACTCAGTGTCTTCCTCTCTTCATCCTCTCTCTCTCTCTCTCTCTGAACCTCTCACTCTCAGTGAGCTGATGAAGAGCTCTGCCCTCCAGCAGATCCTATCTCCCAATGAACCAAGTTCCGGCGGAGAATCTGAATCGTGTGACGACAAAGACGGAACATCAAGTACAGTGTATCTCTAACCTCTTATGGCTAAACTCTGTTCCTGGCATTCTCCTGCAGGCAGTGGAAACTTGTCCACTGGTAACGGTAAAAGAGAGGATACCGGTGAGCGAGATTGAAATTAGCATACTGGAAAAAAAACTCCATTTTAACTCACTTTCTTCCATGCATCGAATGTTCCACTTGGTATAATGTAACGGTAGCTGAATACCTAGAAATGTTTTTGTCTGTATTCATACACCACTAGTGTCTCTAGTAACAGAAGCTCTTTTAACCCTGGAGACTGCTGGCCCCCTCCCTGCGTTTCTCTCTTTTCTACTTGGCAACAGCTGCACCTGTCCCCGATTGCATACCAGGCAGCATAGCTCGCCCTCCAGTAGTCATGGCGATTAACCGATTAGCGTTAGTTGTGCTGACAGTGGGAAATATTTGCGTCTCCTTCTGTCACATCTGCAGATGAAGCCAGGTTTTCTTGCCCACGCAGACTGCCAGTGGAGTGCCTCTATCATTGGATGTAGCTACCACTTGTCATAATAGTCACGGTTCTGCATTCAGGGCTAATGCCAGAGCGCCTCAGGGGGACATAGTTTTCTATCTCTTCCTTTGTCCCCTGATTATGCTTCCCAGGGGACACTTTGACTGCCAGTGGAGTGCCTCTATCATTGGATGTAGCTACCACTTGTCATAATAGTCACGGTTCTGCATTCAGGGCTAATGCCAGAGCGCCTCAGGGGGACATAGTTTTCTATCTCTTCCTTTGTCCCCTGATTATGCTTCCCAGGGGACACTTTGACTGCCAGTGGAGTGCCTCTATCATTGGATGGTAGCTACCACTAGTCATAATAGTCACGGTAGTTGCCAATTGGATGGTCCAACTCTGAAGTCATGCATGAGAATCTCTTTACTCCATTAGAGTGGGTTTTGTATACTCATGCCAAAGCTATGTATAAAAAAACCACAAAAAAGCTCTCGAAGTGTTTGTGAGATTGCGTAAGTACAGTGGGCACAGAGAGAAGGGTCAATGATGTCATTTGAATAGAGTAACTTTACACGGCTGGGTAGTCCGGCCTCAGGGCCCAATGCCAGATGTATTACGACGGAAATTGCAGGAGACTTTTCTTATTCTCTGGTGTCACTCGATAGTCTGCTTAGGACAATAAAACAATAGCCATGCTCAGCTAATTCTGTGGGGGGGCATTAGCATAATTGATTTTTACCCAGCCAAATTACGTAATATGGGTGCACAAACTTATTTACTCCTGCGTTCTGGTCTAGATGAATGTGGGGAGACGGTACAGTCTGGTTAGAACAATAGCCTTATTATGTAGGGAGAGAGACATTAGCATAATATTGTGTGTGCCAGCTTTCTCGTATTTTGACCCAAATAAATAGAGTGCACGAACTTTGTGTCGTAGTGGCGCTCCAGAATTGAGTCTACTTATGGAGACTGTATACTAGCTGTGCCTAGAGTTAATAATGCGTATGTGCTAGTCACACGTTCTGACCTGTCTCACATTGTGTAGTGGAGCCAGTTGGCTCTCCCTCCATCGTCCATGATAATATTATGTCTGGAATCTGTTCTAAACGTTCACATTCATGTTAATTTCACCCTACCATTTACTGTTCATATTGCCACAGCCGATACTAAAAACACCCAAAGACATTAAGTGTATGTGGTGTATTAATGAGTAGAATGATTGATATACTATACTAAACCCTGCCCCATTTCCCTTGCTACTTGGCACGCAGCGGGGCTCGAATGGTGGCAACAGGTGTTGTGTTTTCTTCGGAAATCCAAATCCTGCAAAACTACATTTTCCTCGTGTATGAATATCGTATTATCATACATCAACATCAACATGCGGTTGGAGTGAGATTGCGATCGAATTTTGCTCGCCACCTTAACCCTGCCACCCGACACCATTCTCTAGTTTGATCTCCGAGAGCTAAATTCTTGAAACGTCAACTCCCACCCCCACCCTTTTCCAAGAGTGTCATATCATCCTTGCAGAGGCCAGCCCCCCTTCCCCGCAGGCAAAGCGTGCCACATGCTCACGAAACTTAAACTATCTCGCTAATACTCTCTCTCTCTCTCTCCTCACACGTGCCGCGGTCTCTGGAGCATATGTCGAGAAAGATTCTATCTCTGTATCAGATTTTCTGGGACTTAATTCCCTCGACAAAGAATTTGAACCTTTGTTAATCAGCCATCTGTGTGCTGATTAATCCCCCGTATCAAGTTAAAATATCTTTTGAATTATTTATCCTACGTAGATCGACGTAGTGTAAGTCACGTAGGTCCAGGTCCATCGCAAAACGTGCATATTTCTATCTCTTCCATATTCCTCCCCAGCCAGGAACCTAACACTTGTGGTTACATCAATATCTTCTCACGTTTCACTTCCTACTCCCAAACCGTCTTTTTTTGAAGTCGGCTAATGTTTTGGTAAAGAGCGAGGTGACAATGAAATGACATGCCTAGAGGGGAGAAGCAAAGACCCTAGGGATGAGGCCTGAGGGGGGAGCTATATACACACACAGCTATTCATACCTTTCATCCTTGTTGCAAGCTGTTGAATAGCTATCCCTAACAAAACCTTGGCTCATCACCAATGCTCTGTTGGCCTAGAGTCGTGTGCGTGTGTGGCCAATTACGCCTTTCCTAGAATTCGTTTACACAAACAGATGCTGCATTTGCTTGCATTATGTGTAAGTGTGTTAAAAATCAAGTTGATGTTTTCCCGTTAAGCATGGTGGTGCCTGCTCCTTATTTCTCCATCTTCTCAATAGCAGTCAAGGAAACGGGATGCCTAGGAACCAGTTAATTAGTTACAAGAAGCGTGCATGATCTAACAGTTTATGTTGCGGAGCATTGTCGTCACTCAATTTGGGAGTTTTCTAAGAGATTTGACGTAACTGCCTGTCAACAGTTGTCCCACAGATGTTGATTTTTTCTGCGCTTTAAGACAATGGCTAAGGCAGATCCTTGGCCTTCTGCCCCATTCTCACTACTTAAGACATTCCTTCGCCATGTGATGTTCGTGAGACATCTGTTAGTAAGTGCGTAGCCACAATGCCAGGTGCTTTTAAATCCGCAATAACCATTTCAAGTGTGTCACTTTGCGGTAGGTGCATTTCTGAGGTTTATCCGCTACTTTCGTCTTCATATGGCTTAGCCCATTGACGTAAGTCACACTCCCAAATGGTAGACAATTAAACCTCACTATTGTGGGGGCCTTGAACTAATTATCAAAATGCTGTGCTAGTCTACTGTCTCTAGAACACACGCATTGCATAAAATATTTTGGCTACTTATGTTTTTGAGTTATAAATCCAATTGATTCATATGGCCCTGGCTGTGGCTCCACTCAATGACAGTAATGCTGTGGTAGACAATGCTCATTAACAGCAACTAGGTTTTCTCTCACCCTCAAAGCTTTGTATCCGATTCCCTCCACCCAAACATTTGCCTTTCCCAAAGGCTTAATTCCAACCTGTCAACAGCCTACATGGCCCTTGGTCATTGCAGTGGTTTCCCCTGCCGGCTAGACATACACTACTGGATGTCTTCGTTTTGGATTCCTGTAGCCTGCCACGCCACGTGTATGGGGGGTGTGGGCCAATCTTAAAAATGCCTCTCTGTCAAAGGTATCGAAGTTTGTATGCAGACGGCGTCCAGGACCCATGGGATTTGTAGCTGGCATGTTGACAAGGTTGAAAGCAATGGTAATTGCTGACTGAGGGTGATATGTGCAATGGGGAACCACGGTTATACTGTGTGTGAGTGTTGCAGGAACTGTATTAAGAGGGGAGATCTTATGCCAAGGCCACTGGGATAATCTGCTGACTGGATTCCAGGTGTTGGATCTGCTCTTGTGCAGCCTCACAACTGCTTATTGGATTAATATCCACTACTTGGTGTTTACATACATAGTGAAGTGTGAATCTTCAAGGGAAAATCTAACAGAATGTTATGTTTGAGAGTGCATGCGTCCACCGAGTTTTGGTGAAATTTAAGCTAGTGGTGCGAGTGGATTCTGTTTCAGAGGAGACTGAGGATGTCTATAGCTCTGTTAATTGGCTTGGGGTCCGGTGGACACACAAGCACAAAGTACTCTTGCTGCTTTTTGTTCTTCTAGCTGGTTCGGGGAAATTGATTTTTAGACTACTGTGCAATGACTCATGCATGCAGACTCCTATGATCCTTTTACTCATCTGGGTTTTCCAGCTGCCTTATGCGACAAAGACTGTCGGAGTGGTGACTGGCCCAAAGGGTGTTGTTCCTTTGACTCATCCATGCTAATTGAATATCTGTGCGTGTGTGTCTCCTCGCCCTCACACACCAATCCATTTAGCATCATCATTGTGATATCATAATATCAGCGCTCACCGCACACACAGGCCCCGGCACACGTCCCTAAACCAATAACCTTTCTTGCACCATTCATTGCCCCCTTTATGTCTCAATTCTCTACGAGTGCCTACGCAATTATGCTAAATTGCACTGTTAGCAGAGTTTGGCAGGTGTTCAGCTCCGGGGATAGTATTACCTCAAAGCCATGCATCATGTCCCTTGTGTCTACGTGCAGGCGCGACATTTGACAAGCAGCCGCACGAGGTGCACATCTCTGTATGTACGTTGGTTGTTAAAATGCTTAAGTAGAGGGGTTATCGTTTTTAAGTAGCCAGCGTCGTGTGTGTGTGCGTGTGTGTGTGTGTGTGTCCCTAATGTAAGTGGACTCCTTCTTAATGTCTGCAGCTGTTGGGCCTCCGTTTTCTCCTGCTTCTGAATAGCCATTGTTTACTAGCAAGAGTAGATGGTCTGTAATTTCTGCACGTGCACGTAATATACAGGTGTTCAGTTACGGAGGGTGGGAATGAGCAATGTGCTGAAGAAATCCCCACGAGATTTACTCTCCAAACACTCGTAAATTCCGCCTGGCTCTAATTCGTACTGCGACTTGTTAGGGACCCACCAAAACTTGATGGACAGATTAACAATGATAATAATATATTATAGGTGAACTGAGAGGTCATGTTTATTATCACATGCATCAAAATTGGAGAGGATATAAGAGTTGAAAAAATGATAGAGTTTCTCTCTATCTACAGCCGCACCCAGCGACTCGCATTGTGGGGTAGACAGCATAGCTGAGTCTGTCAAGATTGTCGAGAATGAGCAGGGAGATGGACTCGTATTTGGTTGGTACACAGCATGGTTCGGCCGGCTGGGTGCGAAACTGTGTGTCGGGGTCGAAGGTTTTCAGTGCAATGGCACTGGCCATGATCTTGGCGTGGTTGGTGGCCAGGTGGCCTTGGTAGCGCAGTATAGTGTGGGAGCATGATCCAACGCACTTGCGGGCATTATACTGGAACGGTGCCAGAACATAGGTGAGGTCTATGTTATGGAAGTTGACGGCGAAATCTTCCAGGTGACACCCTCCACTTTCCCTTCTCGCCCTCTCTTGTATGTCGAGATTGTCGCCCAGCGGTGGAGGCTCGGCCTCTTGCTTGATCTCAGTTTTGAGGTCTTCGTCGCTCAGAAACACCAAGAGCATTGGCTGGAGTTTGGAGAGGCGGAGTCTCCGTGGGCGCTGGTTGAGTGGAACCGTTGCTGGGTCGACTAGAGTCACCGGTACCCTCTTGTTGTCCTCACAGTCAACTGAGATGCTGACTGTGAGCTCAACATTGGTGGATATCTTTGAGGAGAGTGACTGAAGCTCTGCCAGTCCACTGGTGAGGTTAGTTCAACCCACCGACTGGAATCAGCCGTCACGCTAACCACCTCTTCTCCTCCAAAGATTGTGAGGCTCGAATTTGTCCCGAGCTCAGGGACGGTGAAAGTGGCAGTGAATTGGACCGGGATAGTGTCTTGTTTTTTGAAATATCTCTGGATCGTGTCCATGTACGTCCTGAGTATCGCTTTCTGGACGAAGACTTTGTTACCTCGTAACATATCCAGCAGGGCTCCCGTGTTGAACGGAAGTTGGTGGGTCACTTTGCATTTCTTGTTGCTCTGCTTCGTTCTCTGCACGCCATCCACGAGGTCTGCAAAAGAGATCAAAGCTATTGTGCTACTAATGCGGTGGCGATGCGTCAGACCACTTTTCAAACTGAGCATTTGCTTGTGTTAGTGCACTGCATGTAGCTACTGCACATTCGCTGGAAACTGTCACATTATTCAGCTAGCTAAATGAGTTGTAATGATTGTATGCTAATTGTCTAGAGAGACGCTCTGTGGTGGATTTTTCATAATTGCCAAGCTCACTTACCTCTGTCCAGCAGGCACCACACATTTGTCGGATCTTCAGTCTCCGTGCGTGGCTTTCCACTCGAATCGGTTAGCGAGTCTCTCAATTGAATCATGTACTCGACGGGAGAGGAAGTATCGATGCCCGCTTTTCGCCGCAAGCGGTTTCGTTGCAGCGTATTATTCGTCGTCACGGGCAATTGAACGGGCGACGAGCCGTGAAGAGAGTATATTTCCAGCGTTGCCTGCAGAAGGATCAGCGTAAAATAGTAAATCTTTGAGCGAACCATCACTGCTTCTGAAGGATTTTGGACAGAAAAACAGATGTGGGAGTTCAAGATTTATCTTAGCTCAGCCCAGTTGCGACAGTTTTGTCTGCGCCGATATGTAATTGCGCATGCGCAAATAATTAATCGCGCGTACGTAAACGGCGCGCAGCGCGCGCATGAGTTATTGATAAACAATTTCATGTAGTGATTAATGCAAAATTGAGGAGTTTGTTGTATAACTGCTCTGCACTCTATACTTATTACTGGCAGCTACAACTCTCAACGACAAGATCTTTGTAGTAGTCTGTGCGTATGCCGAGTGTGGCACTGTCGGCCCTCATGTAGAGGGGAGTGCGCTGCTGAAAAGAATTGGGGACACAGCAGGGAGTGCTGGCTGGGCCGTCGGATGTAATCTGGAGCCCGTGCTGTGGGGAGTAGCCCTGGATGGTCTTGATGGTGGACATGATTCTGGCGTGGTTCGTCCCGAGTGAGGTGTCTCCCCGCAGAGTGCTCTCAGAGCAGGACCCAGAGCACTTCCCAATGTTGAGCGATGTGGGTACCAGGACGTCGGTGAGACCTATTTCACTGAAGGTGATGCTGTGGTCGTACCTCGCACAGTTGTTCTCGGGCGACCGCTTGCTTCGTTTGTCTGCGTTGTGTACCTGGCTCCTCCGTTTCTGGGGGAAGTGGTTGTCGGTGGTGAAGACCAGGAGGAAGGGCTGGTGGGATCCGTCCCTGTCTTTGGCTGGTGGAGGTAATTCAGCTGGGTGGTAGAAGTGTACTGGAGACGAGATGCGATCATGGCAGTCCATCGCCCCAACTTCAATGGATATCCTAATCACTGAAGAGGTGTTCACACGATGCCAGAATTTCTCAGCCTCCTCTGACAGGTCCACCTCGATCCACTGGTCTGACAGCCGACTCAGAACCATCTCCCGCTCAATTTCCACACTGCCAATTTCCCTCCGTCCACCCTCACCATAGAGGCTTACAGTCACCGTCAATGAGATCTTTTCATTCAGTCTAACAGTCTCCTGGTTCACCAGGACGTATGCTCGGAGGTAGAGGCTCTCAAGTTGAAGAGGTTTCAGTGACAGTGCTTTGGCCAGTGAAGGCCACTCAAAGGTGAAGCGTGTGAACTCAGAGCAGGGTCTGGATGCTGGTTGATTTTTCTGAAATGCTTGCTTGACAACATCTGCATGCATTCAATGGAAATATGATGAAGTGTAAAACATGCATGTAACTAGTTTTGGCTGTCTTGTTGGAATGCGCTTTTCAGGTAAATATTTACCTCTGTCGGAGATGCACCAGACGTCGGTGGAGAGACTCGTTTCGTCCCAGCGCACCGTCCCGTTCGGGGTGTACATCTGGTAGTAGAGCTCTCGCATGTACTCCAGCGGAGTCGCTGCCTCCTGGACCTGCGGCGCGTCCGAGACGCGAGGAAGAAGACCATACGCGCCTCCAGCAAAGATGAAGAAGAGAAGTTTTGTAGGTCGCATAGTTTCCTCAGTTTCAGTTGGTTGCGCGTTGTGGAGTGCTGGCAATTCCGCAGGCGCTTTTTATCGTATTTTCCTGCCGCACCCTCGGCGCTCCACTTCAAAAGGAAAGGTCGATTGCACGACATCTGTCAGTCAGCCACATAAATGCGAAATGTGATTACCCATAATCCAGCTAGGGAGAGGAAGATGTGCGTGCGCACGCCCTTATGCGCGCGTCGCAAACATGCAGTTCGCTCTATATTTTCATGGAACCCTATCTGAAGGAAGTAAGCTATTGTGAATAGGAGAGGTAATGTACCCTGTGCCATGCCTTATGAGGTGTAGGCCAGCACCCACAAACCACTTTCCAACAACTTTTTCATTTTTTGGTATCGTATAATGCTTATTTGCCATCAATTATCATAATAATTATGATCTTTTAGCAGTCACACTACAAACAAGCACAATAATTGAAATATTATCATATATCATATATCATAAAGTGATGATTATAATCAGTGTCATTGAAAAATAAGTTTTGAGAAAAGAGATCTATGATTATTCTGCAGTGATTTTGATGCAGAGAGAGAATAAATTTGCGTGAAATCTTGGAGGATAGAAACTGTTCCTGTGTCTAAGACAGATCATGGTATCGTGGAGCCTTACATGTAATATGTTGCTGCTAAGTCGATTTATGGTGGATGCTGGGTAGAAGCTCATCTGCACCCACACTTGGTTGCCACAATATGGTTGTGGCTCTTAAGTCCTGCGGCTGTCCCATCTAGAGGAGTCATTAGGAAATAGACAACTTTGTACTCTGTTGGTACGCAGCATGGCGGTGTGGCTGTGATCTCCACGGAGGGAACAGTGTTCACCTCGGCGTTGTAGATAGCTGTCATGATCTTGGCGTGATTCGTCCCGAGTCTGTTGATGGTGTTGCGGTTGTTACAGTTGCCTGCACATTTCGAGATGTTGAGGGTCATGGGTGCGAGGATGTACGTCAGGCCAAGGTCGTGGAGGTTCACCACGTATCTTTCAATGGAGCATTCATCGCCGGCCGAGCGTTTTTCTCTGTCGCCGAATAGTGCCTCGCCAAGGTCTCTGTACATGGAATCGTTATTGCCGCGGCCTGCTCCAGTGGCAGAGTCCTCCGGGGTGTTTAGGACCGCCTGTGTCTCCCTGTTGTTGGCAAACACGACAAAGAGAGGCTGGAAATCCATGTGACGTGCCCGCCGGTTCTCTTGCTCCAGGGGGATCTCGGCCGGGTTTACAAAGCTGAGCGGGACTTTCTTCTGCTCGGCACAGTTCACTTCTGCCTTGATGATGACCTGGACCTCAGTGTAGGTGGGTATGAGGGGCCAGATTTCCCGGGTCCCCTCTGTAATGTTAAACTCTGCCCATCCGTCGGAGCCTGACCTAACCGTCAGCACTTGCTGCCCTGCGATGACAGCTTCGCTCAAGTCTGTGCTGTTGACGCTGCTGTTGGAAGAGAAGTTTTGTCGAGGTACCATGAAGACTGTGATGTTCACGTCGACCGATGTTCCCTCTTCGATGTGCCTGCTGATGATCTGTACGTAGGTTCTGAGGATGCTGCTCTCCACGTCCAGGAGACGGCTCTCAATCTGGTCCTCCACAGAGCTCCACTGAAACATATACTGCGTGTACGTCGTGCACTTGGCGTTTCTGATTGGTTTCTCTCGATAGCTCTCTTTGGCGATATCTGGATTTGGGGAAGAGGGTGCAGAACCATAATAGACTAGATTGAATATCTGGAAACCCAATGCGGTGCAGCAGTGAATGCAGGGTTGATGGGTGCTCTAGCTATGTAATGTAGCTATAGTGAGCTCACCTCTGTCAGGGAAGCACCAGACATCCGTTGGCTTGCCTGCCGTTTGCCTCGTTTTCTCGTTCTCCAGCTCGTAAGACTCTTCGTACAGGGACCGCATGTACTGCACCGGCGTCGAAGTCACGTTGAGGCCTCCTATTTTCCTGGCGATTCGCCGCCGCTGCAGTTGCGGCGTCTCTTCTTCAGTCGTTTCGCTGGTCGATCGTCGTCTCGTCGGCAGCGCTGCACTCAGGTCGAGCATCAGCAGCGCGACGGAGGCGAGCATCAGGAATTGCTTTGCGGTTTGCATCTTCGAGGCGGTGTGTGGATACCGATTCCGGAGTGCTTTTTTGGGCTGCAGTTTTTATTGAGTGATTTTCTTGTAAGTCTTCGAATTGGCTGTTGCTAGAGCTCCGCAGCTGAGCCCGCGCTTTTATGCGGCCCCGCTCGGATATGAGTTCACCGATTAATTATAATCGAGAACAAACTTGAACCCTGATCTACGTATTGCACAGTAGTATGCGCCCGGAGGGTATGAGCGCACGCACGCACGCACACCGACCGGCCACCGGCACCACGTAGCTAACGCGCGCGCGCACGTACACACCACCGGTGCACCAGCGTCCGCCGCCGCGGCGTGGTGGTAACCATTGCCGACGGCGTCTGCACGAAAATCAATTTAGCGTGGTATAGAGACTCTGGCATCGAATGTGAGTTGCAGCTCCATGCTAGAGCAGTAATGCCGACTGAAGAACAACACTTTGAGGTGGAAAACTGTTCTTCTAACGCCACTCACCATGGTGGTGCGCATTCAGCGCACACATCTCCTGGGACGGTGCTGTTTCTCTTTGCAGCATTCGCAGTAGGCGGTGAGCCCCTCCTACTAAAATTGACGGCAATAATTTTGTCATTCTTTCTCAACAGCACTTGTGCGACATGTGTTGAAGCGAACACCAATTCCCTACACTGTGCTTTTGATGGTGGTAGGCCTTATCATTGGAGCTCTTTCAGAAATCGAAGTTATGTCTTTTCTTCAAGAGTACACCAAACTTGCCTCGATCGACCCACACCTCATGCTGTTCATTTTCCTTCCAACACTCATCTTTGAGTCTGCATTTGTCATGGATGTGCACACGTTTCGCAAGACCATTGGTCAGGCGGTGGTCCTAGCAGGACCGGGGCTGCTTCTGTGCAGCTTCCTGACTTCCCTCATGGCTCGTTTCATCTTCCCCTACAACTGGTCCTGGGTTACCTCGCTCATGTTTGGCACGATCCTGAGTGCAACTGATCCAGTTGCTGTCGTTGCTCTATTAAGCGAACTAGGTTGGCCATACATTTTCCACATGTTGCACGGAGATTATGGAATCCCTGTTTAAGGTGCATCAAAGCAACTTGGGACCATAATTGAAGGGGAATCTCTTCTTAATGATGGAGCTGCAATTGTTCTGTTTAACGTTTTTCTTGTGGAGATGCAGCCCGGAGAAAGCCAGACAGGTTAGCTTCCCCCACACCCCATAATGCTACCGATGGTGTTGCAACCTAATACAAGTGTACCTGGTTTCGTTTTCACTGTGTAATTTACACCTCATTAACTATCAACTCAGTTACCTCATTACATACTCTCTCTCTCTCTCTCTCTCTCACACGCACACCTGCTTCATTTCAACCAACAGCACTGGAGATATTCCTCTACTTTGTCAAGGTGGCCCTCGGTGGACCTGCCTTCGGCTACCTGATGGCAAAGTTCACAATATTCTGGCTCTCTCACGTGTTTAACGATGCTCTGGTCGAGATTACCATCACTCTGGCCTCAACCTACATCACCTTCTACATTGGCGAGGGTCTGTTTGAAGTGTCGGGGGTCCTGGCTGTTGTGACTCTGGGCATCGAGCTCAACTCTCGTCGCACCAGCATTAGCCCCGAGGTGGAAGCCTTTCTCCACAGGTATATACACGTTAGCCGGTCTATATCCACACATTGTGGGGCTGGGAGAGACTCCATTAGTTACATAGAAATGTTGGGTAGTGTGTTCATAAAGCCCTGTATGTAATAGCAAGCAAAGTACTGCGCTCGGAACACCACGGCCCCAGGGCCTCAGCCTCCTAAATCTGCATAGTTTCCTGTGAAAATAGTCTGCTGATGCTCTGTGGATGGTTTTGTATGTATGTGTCTGACTGTCAGGTTTTGGAGCATGCTGGGATACCTGGCAAACACAATCATCTTTGTTCTGGTTGGAGTGGTGATTTCTCAACGGGCATTTTCGGGAGTCGAGATACAAGACTGGATGTTTATGGCCGTCCTCTACTTTGGCATTGTCGTCATAAGGTAACTGATACACTCATTATAAGGCATCGCACTGCTGTCATAACTCATTATCAAAAGTTGTCTGTGCAAAAGTGCTTGGGGGCTCAAAAATTAATACAATGACGCTTGTTAGAGTGTCAGATTTTTTTCCTATACTGGTGAGTACACTTGCATTCGCGATTCTTCTAATTGTTTCAGCCAGTAATGTGAGCCTGTTCTCCCACTTGCCAGAGAGAGGCAAATATTTATTGCCAGCATCTCTCTCTCTCTTGCTACTCTCTACTTCACACACACTGCATATTCTTTTGACGTGTGATTGTGTGTGTGTGTGTGTGCGTGGTGGGGGTGGTATGGTGGAATTTTTGTCTCTCAAAACGGATATTGGCGAGTGTAAAGGGTACAACGTTTTCCCCATATACTCCTGAGAATGCTCCGACAGTACAACAACCCAGGTGACGATTAAGTCACATGGTATTTGACTGATCGTGTAACCTCTGGGGGTTTTAGTTAGTGGTGGAATTCAATCCCCGTTTGTAATCCGCTTCTAATTATCCTGATAATTTCTCTGGGAGAGGCAGGTGAAAGAGCCCTGCAGCATCCCTTGCGAAGGAATTCCATCCCAGCTTGTCCTCCTCCTCTTTGTTGTCATGTCTCCTTCCCATCTCCCCCACACCTCTCCTCCCTCTCCCAACTCCCAGGGTTCTCTTCCGTACGATATCACGTACGATATCACGTACGCACACACCGCGCAGCGCCGCCTGCCCACTTTGATACACGTATGCAGATTATGTAGTAGGCAGTACAGCTATAATGTAGAGGCGTATTAATGTGCCTTAACTCCTCCAAAATGAGGCTAATGTGAAAGACTGTATATATGTACCAGCTGCTACGTGTTGAATAAGAGACCATTACCCTAGGGGCATATGCTGAGGGGTATGACCCCTCCAATTACAGTACACACCTTGAGCATTAACCCAATAGACTACGTATGTGTGCATGTAGTATTTGGTTGTAGACATGGGAATGAGATACCATGATCTTAGTTTCTTGCATGTCATCTGCAATTTTCCGCTGGGCTAACGTGTACGTAAGCGACCAACTTCATACGAGAGATTTTAGAAAGAAATTCAGACACATTGGTCCTCTCTCTGACTTTGTTGTACGACATCTCAACTAACACGATACCTTCTCAGCAACCTGGCAATGCATGTCAGTATGTGCCCATGTATTAGGAGACTCCTCCTCAGCGGTAATGCTCACCGTGGGCCAGAAATTTGTGGCAACTTGTAGAAATTCCTATCACCATGTTCAAGGTGATACGCAGCTGACCCCAGCTACACCCACCCTGTGGTCGCTCTCTGTAATACTGTAGCTTTGAAAGAGATTGAGCAAAGTAGCCCTATCCTTTCTCTTTCTCCCTCTCTCCGTCTCTCTCCCTGCCTCTGTCACGCACACACACACACACACCCAGGTTGATGGTGATAGGAGGTCTAATGCCGATCCTCACCAACATTGGCTACACGGTGGACTGGAAGCAAGTGACAGTCATCACGTGGGGAGGTCTGAGGGGTGCTGTGGGGTTGGCTCTGGCCCTCGTCGTCGTGCAGACTCCTGGCATTCCTCTCGCCATCAGCAGCAAGGCCAGTCTTTATTTCTTCTTTTCTTTTCCCATCTCCTGACGTATTTTCACTGTCTGTCAGTCTGATTTCTCCCATCTTCTGTCGTCCTTTCTCGGTCTGTTAGTCTGATTTCCTTCTTATCCCTCGTCTGTCTTTCACCATCTGTAGAATACTGCACTAACAAAATGGGAGTTGTTCTAGAACACTCGTAGGGCAAATTTTCACACATTTACTGGTGTGAATGGGACGGGAGACGCAGCCAGAGACCCCGCAGCCCTCGCTCAGCCTACACGGCTCATCTACTAGAGGAGGTGTATGTAGATTGCTATTTGATTAGTCGGTCGAGTGGCAGCTCCTGTCTGTCCGGATGATGGGGGGCGCCGCATCCGCAATCGACCGGAGCTGAACTGTGGGGGAAGAGTGTTCCAGACAGTGACATAAGCTGAAGTGGCGTGTGAGCGTGCGGGCATGCGCGCCAAATAGGGTTCGCGCGTGTGGGTGAAATGAGGTTACTAGGGGCAGAGAACACCCTTCCTCTCCCTCAATCTTGGATCAAACCGAGCATTGAACCAGGTACAGGGGAGCCAGAAATGGGATATCAGGCAGTGTTGTCATAGTGACGTTGGCTGCGACAGAGCGTGACGTTCGGCCAAGGGAGTAGACGATGCTCTTCACGGGCAGTTGAGTCCCTCCTCTCCTTCGTCCCAGCAACCCAGCTGACACCACGCATCAGAGGAAGTGGTGACCTGTGCCCAGTCACTGCCTACAATGAATTCCACTAACCCTAGCCCTCATTAATTGTGTCTGGCTAATTAAATTACATTGTGGTTGCACCAGAGTTGATAGTTAAGTTCAAATATTGTGCACACTCTGACCTCAGCTGTTGCAATATCATGCAGAGGAAGTCAAACTTTGGCCTCTGCTGGGGAAATTAGGGAGTCCCCCCACAACCCTGCAGGAAGCATGTAGCAGTCAGTGTGGGGAGTGGGTGAAGGCAGGGGAAGTAGGGGTGAATGCTAGAGGAGGGGGAGGTGAAGTGGCTGCTATTGAGGGCTGGTTGTAAAGGGCAGCCTGCGCAGAACTCTGTCTATCTCTGAGTATGCACCCTTCTTCAGAACCTCCAAGGTTTGACCATTGAAAAATCACTGACTCTGTACTAGCTTGCTTCCTGGTGATTTACATAAGTACTAAGAGTGGGAGAGAGAGAGAGAAAAAAGGAGGAGGCAAATAAGATACCTAAATTGGGCACATACAAACTTGGGAACCAGTTCAACTCCTCCTCAGCAATTTGTTAGTGTCTGAGGTGTCAAACCGCAGCTGGTTGGCAGAGATCTAACTGACCCTGACATACGACACCACACATATTGTGTGACTTGATTGACCTTCGATACCGATAACTGCCAGGCATCAGATGCCCGTTTCTCTTCGCATGGCTGGCCGCCTAATATCACGGCTCATAGAGCAGGGATAGTGGCGGAAATAATAACTGTTACCGACGTGAAAACTATATCCTGTGGGATGCTGTAAACCCTCACACGTGACTTAGTCTGTATATTTAGGACGGGTCACGTACATTTAAGCAACCAATAACTCATATCGATTAAGTTAAATAGCTGTTAATGAGAAATTATTGTAGCTACACGGAAAACAACATTGCAAAAAGGTGGCATAGGAGTTGTTTTAAAACAAACAATGATATGTGCAGGTGTGCGGGTGGCTGTAATGAAAGTATGTGTCCAACCTGATCACAGTGTGAATGAAAAAGGAATGCGTGCAATGTAAAATTACCGGTATGAAATTACCAAACGTATGGGAGTTGTGAAAAAACAGCAATGAAAACCATAATAGCATACACCTGACTTTATTTCTCTTACCACCAACCTACACACGCTTGCAAACATACACACACACACTTGCAAACATAACACACACACACACACACAGATCCTGTTCCACAGTGCTGGTATAGTGATGCTGACTCTCATCGTGAATGCCACCACCACCAAGTACCTCCTGGCAGCCCTGGGGATGAGCGACATATCCCATGCCACCAGGGTCACCATGGCACAGGGTAGGCCTCCACATTCCCTCGGGAAGTGTACCTGAGTCGCTTTTTCCTACTTCTTTTTGTTGTTGTTGGTGTTCTTTTTTATTTTTTGTCTCGTCTCTCTCTCTCTCTCTCTCTCTCTCTCTCTCTAGCTGTGAGAAGGGTGAGGGAGGCAAAGCAGAGAGCAATTAGCATGCTGAAGTCAGACCATTTCCTAGCCGATGCCAACTGGGAGATAGTTGAGAATACGACCGAGATTCGTGACCCGTACCGACACCTTACCGAATCTGTGCACGTGAGCTCTAGTCTCCTATTGTCTCCCTTCCTTTTTTCCAAATTCTTTTTCTTGTGTCCGTCTTTTCTATTCCATCCCTATCATAATTCCTAACATTTTTTATGTACTCGCTGCATTATTACAGTGTGAATCATTGCCGAAGGGAGTAAAAAACGAACATTTTTGAATTATTTGAGGTTCCATGGGAATAGTTAGAAATTTCTTAGTGTTTAGTGGGCCCCACTGTACGTAGTAAGACAGTTGGCGACGTGTCAGTAGAGATGTGGCAGAGACAATGTGATTGTGGGAGAGAAGCGTGGAACAGAGGCTGTTGAATTTGATCTCAGTTGTTTGCTGCATTTTGTTCCCACGAGCGTGCATACCAGCACTCTATCACATGCGTACCACCCCCCTCTTGTTGTAGCAATACTCTCTCGTTCGCTTTGTCATTGTGTATGTTAGAACTGACGCATTAACACACTCTCAAGTTCACATACATACACGTACGGGAGGAAGTGAGAAAGTTCTTCTGTCATGGACTAGAGCTGCAAGTACAAAATGTCTCCGGTTTCGCTAAGAGGCCAACAGAGGAACCTCCTCCCAGTGTTGTGTATAGGGCTGTGGTCAGCGGTATGTGTGGAGGCTCGCTGCTTCTTGCCTTTTCTGGCTTAATGATACGTGAAAATAGCTGCGAGTGAAAGATACACCACCTCCCATTTCATCTCAGTTTGCATGAGAGGGAGATCAACCCCAGGCTTGTACAGTCCACATAACTGTTCACAGGTGTACTACGTACATACGTACGTGCCATCTTTGGCAATTGAAAGTTGACTCCTGGTGTCATGTTTTAATGACAAATTTGATTCAACTCTACCGCTCGCATCCTTGAGAATGCGAATATCCCAGCAGAAACAGCAATCCAAGGAAGTTAGGATTACCATTACCCTACAATCCAACAGCTGTTGTGCATATCATTCCGAAATTGTAAGCTGATGAGCATCGCCTAGCTGACAGCGGCTACCCTGTAAATGACTGTTGCTGGAGGGATAGTTTGGTGGTATACATCCCTCCCTCCCTTCCTTCCTCACTCCCCCCTCTCTCTCCCTCTCAAGGTTTTTTCCATGAAATTTTTAAGAGGAGGAAGATAGTTCTCTGTACAGTCTTTAACACGTCCTAAACATAGTCTAAATTGGGTTGATGGGCTCCGAGGGGAGGATTTCCCCCTCCTTTCCTCTTGCGTATATATTTGTTAAAACTGTGTTCCTCTCCCAGATGGCCAAAGACGGAGTGCTGGTTGCGTCGGTGAAGGACACACAGCAGTGCCCAAAGTGTGAGACGCTGGTGCCCCGGATCCCGCACCCCAAGGAGCTGGCAGAGCTGGCTGAGGAGGTGCGACAGAGGATGATCAAGGCGGAGAGGACCAGCTACTGGCGGCAGTTTGAGCAAGGGATGCTGGGGAGGGACGCGGTGTTGGTCCTCATCCATCTCGCTGACACCGTACTCGACACGCCGGAGAGACTCATTACACTCAGAGACCTCAGCCCCTACTGGCAGATCCCTCTCATCCTCAAGAAGATTGTGAGCCACAACTCAACTACTTGGTCGCTTCCTAAATTGTCTGTAATATAATATCGGCCTCGGGTTTTACAAAGTTTCGAGGCAAGGCAAACAGCTAGCATAGGCTCTACGATAGCACACACCATGTAAAATTACATAAACCTACTGCACATATGTATGTCTTTCTGCCTCAAAATCTTTAGACGTGTTCAAATGGGTGTACAAACTGCTCAACCATTCTTCATGCACACACACACACACTGCACAGCGTCAGTGGTTGCTGAAGGCAGAGGAGGAGAAGGCGTCCTCCGAGGCCCTCCCGGCCCCCAACCACCGCTGCTGTCGCCTCCCCTACTTCCTGGTCAACCTCTCCATCTTCGAGTGGACCCTGTTTGGAATCATCACCCTCAACGGCGCCTGCACCATCGCCGAGCTAGCCACCACCGACACACTGGCCGCTCAGGTCCTCGAGTACATCAACTACGTCTTCGTCGCCATTTACATCGTGGAGGCATTTCTCAAGGTACCCGTCATATCATTCACGTACTGTATGTAGTTCTGGGGAAAATATGACGTTATTGGTGCTAAAGTGCACAACTCTTTGTGCCCCACATTATGGTGATATATCTCTGTTATATCACTATAGTCATTGTACCCAATCCTACAGTAGTTCAATTCCAGAGAACGTACTAGTAAAATCAGAGGTCACCATTGCATTAGATATGTGTGTCTAGTAGCCAGTCGTATATGTGCGTGGGAGGCTCCGGTTTATCTTTCTCATTAACATCGGGAAGGAAGTTCAATGTTACAGTTCATGATCGTGACCACACTGCGATCATTATCACACTATTCAACTGTTCCCTGGAATCATCATAACTGAATTAGTACTTTTCTTGGAAGTTTTAATATTTTGACCTCCCTGAATGTGTATGTAGATAGTAGGACTCAGGAAGTACTATTTCCTGAGCAAATGGAACCTGTTTGACCTGCTGATCCTGGCCGTGTCCCTCGGCGACGTCGTCTTCGAGTTGAGCGTTCCACAGACCGATTCCCAGTTCTCCTCGGCCGCAGTCCTCAGACTTGTCAGGATATTCCGGATCCTGCGAGTCAGCCGTGTCCTGAGGCTCCTCAAGGCTAGTGGCAAAGAGAGAAGAAGAGAGAGAGAAAGAGAGACAATACACCATTTTAAATTATTTTACTTGGCGGTTCTGCCAAGCCAACAATCACTAGGATCACATTTTAAAATAGGCAAGACAGGTGCAAATGAAGCAATATTCTGGCAAAAAACGAAGTAATTTCAAGCGCACTTCCCTACAGTTGTTCAGTCCCTTGTTCAGTAGTCGGTAGTAAATTCACTTGAAGACAGAAGAGACAGAGGCAAACAGAGACCCCCGCTTCCTCCTCTAATAATAGGTACTCCTTCCTCTGTTCATCCGTGGAGTGGACAACATCATCCACCGTCGACTACGCTTCGGCTACGACGTAGGGAAAGGCTTCGTGATGGGCGAAGACGAGATGCTGAAGCAGTTTGACAGATTCGGGGGTCTCGTACACAAGAAGATTGCTCTTGAACTGCGGCGCAGGGCAGAGGAAACTCGACTGGATGTGATAAAAAGTCTTGGTACGCCTATTAGCTGATCAATTGGCCAAACAGTGACACCTCTGAAAAAGGACACCTCTCTCTAAGGGACACTATAGTTCTGCCCCATACTAATACATTAGTACCTCCGAATAGAGGATGCCCCTTAATAAAGGGCACTTCCAATCTCCCCAAGGTGTTCCTTATTCGGAAATTTCACAGTACCGGCTTGAGCCACAATAGGTCATGGTATGTTTCCATCCATTCCTCCCTATTATTACTATTATTTACAAATTAAGGTGTAATTTAGTTATTTTCCCCCCACACTTACTGTCATCCCACTGTAACTTTAACTCCCTTGAGGTTGACACGCCTCTGTTTCTCTCTCTCTCTCTCTCTCTCTGTCATACGCGGCACAACTTGGTTGCATTAGAAATCCATTCAACATGAAAATGGGAGTGTTCTTCTCCGCGTGCAGCTTGTTGCTGGGACCTCCACACACTATCACACCCACACATTGATATTCCTGTAGGCCACATGCGTAAGCAGTATCCGGGAGTGGCTCTGTCAGTGAAGACTCATCAGGCCACCAGATCTGTCCTCAACCACTGCAGAGACACCATCAAGAGTCTCCTGGGCTCAGGGCTTCTCGACGAGAACGAGGCTGAGAAGCTGTTTATGGTGAGTGGTTTGTTTGTTTGTGTAAGTGTGTGTGTGGTGAGGTAATAGAAGGAGGACGACTTCTAGGGGAAGAAGTGGTAAGGAATGTAGCTTCTTCTGGCATCTGAAACATCTTTGTTGGGTATCCAATGGCGTTCCTGTATGCTTCCATATCCTCCCCTCCTGGAACACCATTTTCAATATCATGCCCTCTCGCATGTGTCAATTCATCAATATTATACTCTTAGGTATGTGCTGTCGCATATGTTGCACCCTTAGGCTGGGTTCACAATATTATGTCACATTGCCCCGTCGCACCGTGCCGCAAAGATAGAGAAATGGATTCTATCCTCGCAGCGCGGCACGGTGCGACGGGGCAATGTGACATAATATTGTGAACCCAGCCTAAGGGTGCAACATATGCGACAGCACATACACCTAAGAGTATAATAATTATGATGAATTGACACATGCAAGAAGGCATGATATTGAAAAAAGTATTCCAGGTGTGAACCTAGCCTTGCTCACTGCATGTGACGTAGCCAATGAACTAAATGTAATCCATGATTATTGTATGATTGTCAGACTCAGTCAGAGTCTGGAAAGAGAATAGAAAGCATAATCGGTCAAGGCTGACCTCAATTGTATTTACTAGTGCTCATACTCATGTGCAGACAAATGTACATAGCTGTCTGGTACATGAAAGAGGTGGGTGGCGGAGGAAGAGACAGGGGAAGAGAAGAGGACAGTGGAAGTATGCATTTCCTCAGCAACCTTCCAGATTGTTACCTTATCACCATAACAACCTACCGGCTGCAACCAGGGCTGCCCCCTTTTGACAATTCCCATTTCAACTTTGCGGTTTAATCCCTGTTTGCCAGAGGAATTGGGGATTGGGTCAGTATTCGACCTCCTAGTATAGCCAATAGCTGCAGGCAGGGTAAAGTCTAGGTATGCGACACTGGAGCTCTAGCAATGTGTCTTTCTAGCCTTGATCTCATCCTCCTCCTCGCCATCCCTCCAAACTCTACCTCGTATCAAAGCTCGCAAACCTCTTAGAATCGAAATTTGCTGCGTGTAAATTACACCCATGCACAGGGTGATATCAATACCGCAGTTCCTACTACTTCCTGCTCATTTTTCACTCCTTTATCCCTCTCTAAGGACCACTATTTGGTGTATCTTGGTATCCATTCGCTCTGTATGTATGTAAACACATTGTCCCTGCCTTATTTCCAAGACCTGCTGTCGTATCTAGTTCTCAAAATAATGGCTTGATAGCCGGGTACTGTAACGTGTGCTAATTGTTGCTCGGGGAGCCGGGGAAGAGAAGAGAGGAATTTGACTGATGACCAGGGCCTGGGGTGATGTAATGTGAACATTGAGAATCCAGTGTTTGCCAACAACTAGTAACTGAGCCTTAGGAGCCTGGGAAAGAGGAGAGTGGAAGAGAGAGAGAGAGGAGGGAGAGACGATGTATAACTTACATGCATATTGGCACGGGATCCCACCAATTAAAAAGATGTAAGGAGCAGACCGAACCAATTAAACCACCAAAGACGCCCAACTCCAAATTAAGCTGATGCGTGAAATATGTCATTGCAAAGCAAGAAGCAATTATCTTTCTAGCAGTGAACTTTGTAGTGCACCCCACGCAGAAATCTCCTTATGGCCACTGATCAATTAATCTGTGATGTCAACTAATTCAAGCACTTGAGAAATGATATAGTTGATTACGTAGTAAACATGTTCTGGAATCAAAGGTGTTAGTTCAGTGACATTTAATACACGACCAGGTCCAAAAGAGGTGTAGGTACAACAATGTCGGGTGGAGCGATATGTGGCTGCTGTTTATCATCACATCGCTCTCTCCCCTCCCCCCACCACCACGTGCACAGCAGTGTCATTGATCTCACTGCACGCAGTAGTCGAAATTGCAGGCAGTGTGTGTGTGTGTGTGTGTGTGGCTGGAGGTGTAAGTGGCATATTATTCTTGAGAGGGTGTGACAAAAAAACCCTCAACCAGGGAGTTGAGTAGCTATCTAATCCCTGCAGCAGGCTCGGCACGTGCCAGGACCAGATGGGGGGAAAAAGTTTATCAGCCCTTGATATGCCGGGCTGGTTTACAATAGAAAGCAGTGCTGACTCTCCTCCCTCTCTCCCTCTCTCCCCTCCCTCCCTCTCCCCCCTCCCCCGTCTCTCTCAGTCCATAGAGAAGAAGATGAAGCACCTGGAGCGGACACCGGGCTCCCTGCGGCCCCCCGACCCAGCCACAATCCTCCTGAACCTCCCCTGGCTCTCCGGACTGGGACCCGACGTGGTCCAGGCCCTCCTCCCTCACGCCGAGTTCGTCCAGCTGGAGCAGGGAGACTGGCTCCTTCCACAGGGGGCGGAGTCTCGCGGGATCTATGTCATTGTCTCGGGCCTCGTGAAGGTCTGTCCCGTCGGTTAATTGGACAGTTACAGTCTGTGCTCAGTTCCGATAAGGGGACCTATGTCCCAATACAGTAGGTAGTGTAGTGTTCTGAGGTTCCACTTCCATCTCCATATTATTGTGTAGTAGATTGCATTTCCACTGCTGCAGTTGACCATGAACATGGAGCCACGAGGATTTGTTCAATCTACTAGTGGCGAGGTGGCACCCATAGAACCCTGCCTCTCACCCAGAACGGAGGGGGAGGAAGAGGAGGAGGAGGCCCCGGGGCAGTCAGGGGGAATGAAGAAGGCAGTGGAGGAGTTCCACGGAGCAGGAGCAGTGCTGGGGGAACTGGGAGTCCTGGAGAACACCAGTCATGTCCTCTCCATCCAATGTGAAACTCCAGTCAGGGTCAGTTCCTCTTGCATCTTCCTCTCCTACCTCTGTTGCCTCTTCACCTTGTTCTACACACCACCTTTTGCATTTACTCTGTTTTTGATGGCTTAACCCTACTCTTGTCTACAGTTGTGCAGTGTTAACCCTTTGTCTCCAGGCCTTCTTCCTGGATGGGGAGTCGATGCAGCAGATCCTGCAGCAGTATCCGGTGGTGGAGGAGAGGCTGTGGAGGGTCAGTGGGATACGAACTGCCTTGCAGCTACTCCCTCAACTTCCCGACTACCAGGTATGTCGCAGTCGCGTACCCCCACACCCCGCGTCAGTCTTAGTCTCGAGAGGAAAATGGGTGAAATATAGCAATTTCTTGGTTCTGCTAAACCAGCACCCTTGGAAATCGCTCAACATCAGTTGAGGAGGATGTGAGTGAAGCTTCATGCACCACCTTGCATATGAACCAAGCAAACTTGCGTTTGATTGCATAATGATCACATGACAGCTCAACCGAGAAATGCTCAATAATATTTTTTCTCGAGGGCGGGGTCTGGGCACGAGCCTACGTCAGTGGGCGTGTCTGTTGTTCACCGTGTAAACAATAAGGTCCAAGTACCACAGAAATGCACATGCACACCATTCCCGAGACAGAGAGATTGCATTCCTACACTCGCGTTTAGCAGCGGTGGATTGCAGACAGCTGTTGTCCTGTCCCCTGCACTCGACACACTATCCGCGCAGCTCTCTGGTAGAGTCCAGAAGGTTAATCACATAGCTCCCCGCGTTTTTGTAGAGGTCATCGTGTGGCCTGGTAAACTCGTGGGAGGGGGGGAGGGGAGCGGTGGTCCACTGGTACAGGATGTGAGACTGGGGTGAGAGTATAGGAGGAAGATAATTACACCACAGGATTTGCCAGCCGCTGCGGTTATCTTGACTCATACAAAAGACACTGGGAATGAACAGAATCTCATGAATATCGTTGACCTGGCTGCCTATGCAAGTGTGTCCCCCGCCTCCACAATGGTCAATGTCACGGCATGCTGCTGTGGAGTGGCCCCTACTCTGCCATTTCCTCCTTGGCTCAGAGCGTCCGGTGTCAGCTGGGGACAGAGTCTGAGAGAGAGAGAGAGGGAGGAGCTAGGTAGACACATGAGCTACGGCCTGGGTGGGAGAAACAGCTGCAACCAGCGAGCATACACCTCTCTCTCTTTCCTAACTCTCACTCCCACTTGTATCTGTAAGCCAAACTGCTTTTTAACAACTGACACAGTCTCGGTGCTCAATTGCTCAATGAAGACACGCCTCCAGAGGTGTCCTGATCAGATTAGGACACACCTCCAGAGGTGTCCTGATCAGATTAGGACATGCCTCCAGAGGTGTCCTGATCAGATTAGGACACGCCTCCGGAGATGTCCTGATCAGGATTAGGACACGCCTCCAGAGGTGTCTTGATCAGGATTAGGACACACCTCCAGAGGTGTCCTGATCAGATTAGGACACACCTCCAGAGGTGTCCTGATCAGATTAGGACATGCCTCCAGAGGTGTCCTGATCAGATTAGGACACGCCTCCAGAGGTGTCGGGATCAGGATTAGGACACGCCTCCAGAGGTGTCGGGATCAGGATTAGGACACACCTCCAGAGGTGTCCTGATCAGGATTAGGACATGCCTCTAGAGGTGTCGGGATCAAGATTAGGACACACCTCCAGAGATGTCCTGATCAGGATTAGGACAAGCCTCCAGAGGTGTCCGGCCTGATCAGGATTAGGACACGCCTCCAGAGGTGTCGGGATCATAAAAGTGTACAGAGGTGTCCTATAGGACGTGTTGTCCTGATCTCGTTACTGCAGGACTGGCCCATGACGAAACTCATGCTGATGTGTGAGGGAGCGTACATAGCCACGCCCCCTGACGAGCCAGCTCCGACGTTCGAGGTGACACAGGACCACCGTGAGGTCATACTAGTCAGCGGAGAGGTTCGAGATGTGGGATCGAGAGAGAGACTTGTGGCCCCTTGCGTCGTCCCCAACAACTTCAGGTATTATCACATTGCCTGTTCCTTTGAGGTGTGCACTTATTAGAGTTTCCCTTTAACTTATTGTGATTGTATGTACATGGAATTTACACTACGTATGTTAGAATTCTGGTTCCACTGTATGTATGGTATGTTGACTATCAATACCAGGATACCTGATCATTAGTGATCAGCTTACAGCTGGATGTATGAAGAGTTCTATTTGTCTCTCTTCAGACATCTGATGATGAACGTAGGGTCCCCCAGACTCCTGGTGATCTCGGACTCTGCCTCTGACCCCGTGGACCAGCATGAAGAGGAGGAAGAAGAGCTCACGTTCAAGCCTCGCGTCACTCACCGACAGAGACTCCGGGTCCTCCTTTTAAACCTTTTCTCTCACTTCCTCTCCCTCCTCCACCTCCTGGGGGTGGGGCTCCACAGACTGAGGGAATGGAGAAGGAGGCGTGTCTCAGAAGATGTCGCTGCTGAGGAGGAAGAGGGGCGTGGCTCTGAGGGTAGCAGGGGAAGTCTAAACCACACCCCTCAGTGGGCGGAGCCAGAAATGACACCCGAGACCCTCCAGTTGGAGATGGAGGCTGCCACACCCCTTCCTGGAGAAAATGTGACCACGCCCCCTGGAGATTCGCCTGGGTGGGCCCCCCGGGGGTCAAAAGATGAAGACGAGGAAAAAGTGGACCCTACATCTGTTGCACTCCCTGCCTCAAATACCAGCTTTACTCATTAAAGCCAATGTCAAGGAGACACTGATAGAGAACAAGACGGGTATATAACTTTGCTGCTTTATCATAACAGAGCTCTCATAAAACCACCAACAATTATCATCAAGGCATTATAAAACTTGGTCATTCACTCTCATTCAGGTTACAAAAAGACGTCACACTTTGAAGGGAAAATATATGCACACCTGTCTATAGTTTATCATGTATTTGATGAAAGGACCACACGCAGAGACAAATTAAAAGGTTTGATGATGATGATGATGATGATGATGATGAAAATGAGACACTCTTTAACATACAGTACACTAACAGTGAGAGAGAGAGAGAGAGAGAGAGAAGAGTTAGACGTCTGACACGGGAAGAGGAAGGGCTGCAGAAACAGCCGCAGACACGAGGACAGGGGAGATGGGTGGAGTGGCATGGCTCAACAGTCCAGTATCATCCTCTGGTTCCTCGTACAGTCTCGGAGGCAGAGGAGGCGGAGCGTCCTCACCAACATCCTCCGTCCTCTTCTTCTTGCTCTTGTCCACCTTGCTGTAGCCTTTGGCATCGCGTTGAATCTCTCCTCCACCTCCTCCTCCCCCTTCCCCACTCTTGCCGTTCACCTTTTCGCTACTCCCTCCATTAGCTGCACCCCCACTCACACCTTCCAACGATAACAACCGTGGTCGTTCCTGCACTAACTGTTCCCCCTCTCCCTCCTTCCTCTTACCCTCCTCACCCTCCTCAATTACCTGCTCCTCCAACTTTTGCCCCCTTCCCCTTGCAAAGACTTCCACCCGTGAACCGTACATCAAGTTTTCTGTCATACTGTCTTCGAAACCCGGAGAAATCAGGTCTTTGGGCGCAGTGGACACCGTCACTTTTCTCTCTTCTTTCTCTCCCTCATCTCTCCTCTTTGTTCCCTCTTTCGTTCGCTCCTCCTCCTCCTCTTCCTTCTTCCCCTCAGCTGGAGGTTGGGGTGAGCCAGAGGACGGCAATCCATTTCTTGACGGATGGAAATCAACCGCATCCCGACTCCCAAGAGTTCCGTACTCGTTCCCAGCTTCAGGGATCATCACTTGTCTACCATCACCTCCGGACGGATACGCGATGCTGTAGATCCCTTCACCTCCCCCTCCTCCTCCTTCAGATGCACGCCTCTTGCATTTCTCGTGAACAAGAGTGTGATAGGTGGACTCCTCCACTACATTGTGGACCGTTGCGTGTCTCTGAAAAGGTGCAGGCATCACGTGCTGTGTGTGAGAGTACATGTCTTCTTCGGCCAGCGTTGTCGCTGATTTTCTCACCCGCGGAAGGACGGGCAGGGGAGGAGTGTTGGCTCCGCCTACAGCCCCGCCCTCTTCCCTCCCCTGTGCGGTGATGGCGGCCTCCGTTTGCTCCACCCACTGCTGGATTCTCTTTGGCCGTGCAGTCTGCGCCCTCTTCAGACTGTACATGGGGTTCGGTCCGGAGACGTCCGTGTGGTGAAGGCTACCTCTTCGCTGGAGTGGCGACGTAGAGCTCGGCAAACCAACCAGTACATCTTGCAGAGGAATCTGTGCATATTCTTCTCCGCTGGGAATCCTGTCTTCATTGGAGAGCCCCGCAGGAGATATGTGGGCGGGGCTTTTGGCGGGGAGGGGGAGTTTCGGCCGATTTTCAACGTCTCCACCCCCCACGCCCCCCGTACCCCCCGCCAGCCCAACCGGTCGATGTCTGTTCCCGTGCAGCGACACCTGCTTGGCTTTGTCGATGTACCTCTTGAGCATCCGGTAAATCTCCTCGTCCTGAGTAGTTGCAAAGGTGAAGGTACCCTCGCCGCGAGGAGACCTCTTTCCGGCCTCGAATCCAAACACGGACTCCCCGCACCAGTAGCGACGGAGGCAGTTGAAAGGCCACACCCCCACGACCTGCCGGGACGAGGCAAGAGCACAGAGGATCTCCGAGTTGGTGGTGATTGCCAGGAGACACTCTCCGTGGGCCCCAATTAGACTGGTGTGGGACCAACTCTGGGCCTCCACTGTACACACAAATGTCCCTGCATCGGGGATGGATAATTATAATATATGCACCAATCAATGTTCACCATCCCACACTGAGAACTTGAGCATCTAATTATTTCACACTGAGAGGTTGAAACCTCAAACCCCTCCTTCGATATGAAATCAGTGAGGTTCAAGAGGAGTTCACAATTCGAGACTAGCGGTTTTGTTAAACGTCAATGATTGAGCCTCCATACGATACGTACAGAGGCTTATTATAGGTAACTGCCACAGATTTGAGAAAGCTCTCTAAACAGTCACCTGGCATGCTGGGTTAATGGAGCATGTAATGAGAAATAAAATGGCCTACAAGTTGTAGCGTAGTACATAGTTTAACTACTGTAGTTTTGCCAAGAAAAAGTGCTAGCGGGAAAAAGGCACGAGGTAATGACGATGTAATGCTAGTGTGCGGGGGTAATAACAATGTAATCTAGTGGAGGGAAGGCATGAGGTAATGACGATGTAATGCTGGTGTGGGGAATGGGGTAATGTAATGATGATGTAATGTTAGTGAGGGGAAAGGCACAAGGCAATGATGATGTAATCCTGGATTATTGGGAAAGGGGGAGGGGCTCACCCAGTTTGCCGCTGTTGAGAAATCTCTGTGTCTGAAGGTGGTATATCCACTGGTTCATGAGGTGGTAGGAGGGAGCGGCCAGGAACAGGGGAGGATGGTCGGCCACTGTCAGCTGCAGGGGGAACTGGTAGCCACTGGTGTGGGCCAGAGACACCTGGAAACTGGGGATGAGCTGAAGGATTGCCTTGGGAGTCTGTGGAAGGGGAGGGGAGGCAGCTGTGAGATCTTTAGCTGGTGTTTTAGGCAGGGTTAGTAAACAGTCTGAGTTGTTTCAAGCCCTGCAACAGCACAACTCCACCCTAGACCACCCTCCACCACTCCTTTTCCTTCATTCATTATCCTCTGCCTCTCCACTCTCACCCCCCATCTTTCTTCCCTCCCTCTCACCCTCAGCCTTTCCTCTTCCTCCCAGCAAACAAACTCACTCAGCCAAACACAATAATTCTGTCCTATTGCCAAAACCTCACGCACTGTTCATTTTCAAAACAGTCTACTGCAATGCCTCCAACTAGACTTGAAAGTCATACGCACTCACTCCGCAAACTTTGCATATTTTGCATTACTCATTGTTAACTTCACCCACTTGCCATCCCTCCTGGAGTGCTCATCTCCTCCGAACTTAGTCCGTAAGTGGGTACAACATTTCGTAAGAGTACAAACGGATTCGTAAAGTATGAGACTCTGTAACTACAATACCTGTTTCTGCCATTTCTTCTTGGGGTCTTTGTACATGTAGAGGGAGGAGGTTTTGTTGCCGGGGTCTCGACAGAGGACAAACAGACGGCTCCTCCAGTCTCTGCTGGACATGCTCCCCGCAGTCGACTCCTTCCCCAGCTCCAGGACACCCTGGGAGAGGGGGGAGGAAGTGGGGAGTGTGGGGAGGAAGTGGAGGGTGAGAGAGGAAGACAGACATGTACATGAAAGGTGAAAGTCAGCGAACACAGGCTTCCTTCAATCAGTGAGACCTCAGGTGGGAATTTGCACGGGCTCAGTTTACATACACACCACACAAAGCCTGTCACCAGCATTATAGAGCTTTGTTGGGAAGGCCCCCACTCTCCAAAGCTAGAATATTAGAGTTCTATATGCTTTTCTTGACTTCACTAGTTCACCTGCTCGAACCCAGCTTGCCGGTAGACGATACAACACACGTGTACGTGGGCAGAATCGGCGAATCGCTCGCGGTGTATGCACATTATTACACTCTAACCTGAAACACGACTGACGGCTCAGTGGCCATGACGTGTACACTCTCACACGTTCCTGTGATAATCCCGGAGTCTCTCTCCGCCACAGAGACGGCCACTGTCGATCGCTAGCACTTCACTCTTTACTCTTCCGCGATCGAGAAAGGGGGCGGAGTTTGTTGCTAAACCCGCGCATGCGCAAATATTCTACTCGCAAAGAGAGGCGGGGCTAGTACACGAATCAGGAAATGCATGATAATAAATAGGAGGAAATGACGAGAGTCACGTGAGATAGTGAGAGTATCATGAGTCTCCCACAAGCTCCCCGAGTGCCTGGAGGACCTCTCTCTTGTAGTCGTAAAAATCTCCGTCAACTTCGTTGACTTCTCTGTTCTCCACAACCCACAGAGTGCAGTTGGTTTCCTGGATAAGTCTGGCATCGTGGCTCACCAGCACCACACCTAGTGGAGAGAGAGAGAGGGAGAGAGAGAGAGGGGGGGGGGGGAGGTAAAGCACTTAGTGCAAGTTTTCCTGAGGTGTAAGATCGGCAATTCCCACAGAAAAATGATGTATGTAGCTAGGAATGTACGTCAGTGACAATAAAAGCATTTCTGTTTCGTAAGTTAAACATTATCCACGAATTTTTTTACGTGTCAGTACAATTGAAATTTGGTGCTACGATGGTATACATACCTCCTTCATATTCGTTCATGGCATCAGCCAGTGCATCGATTGATTCAATGTCGAGATTATTTGTCGGCTCGTCCTGTGAAAGGAACAGAGGCTCCCAAACCACACCCACCCACAGAAGCCACACCCACCATGATTAAAATGTCGGGTTCCATGAGGGATAGCTCGGCAAACACAACCCTTGCCTTTTGTCCTCCCGACAAGTCCCTCATCTTGATGGTGTGTCCGTGGCTGGCCAGACCGTAGCGTCCCAGAGTTCTCCGTGCCAGCTGGTAGTCTACATTGAACTTCCTCTGTCAACACACAGTATATACAATAATACAGACAGTGGGTGGGCTCTTATTAGAGAATGCCACACCCACCATTAGGTATTCCACGGGAGACTCTGAAAGCTCTAGTTGATCTGCTGCATGTTGGTTGTAGACCCCGATCCTCTGGGAGAGAGGATCACCTGATTGTCACATGACCAGTATATAGGGTAGTCATGTGACAATCAAAAAGGAGAACTTTGGGAGATGATCATGTGAGTGTCACATGACCAGCAAACAGGGGAGGATAGAGAAAAAGTGTGGGAGATGATCATGTGAGTGTCACATGACCATAAAACAGCAGCAAGAATGTCATGTGACCCAGCAAACAGGAGCGAGGAGAAAGAAAAACACCTCAGTTGGGACATGTTTGGTGTTTCAGGGTTGACAAACTGGGCTATTGACAGCAGAGAGGGGCTTACCAATCTGTGGTTCTTTCTAACTTCCCCCAAATTCTGTGGAAAAGATAATGCACCCTTAACATGTGTCCACATGTAGGGTGTGTACGTGTGGACACGAGACTAGAGCTACAGGAAAACATGGCGTGGGTACAAGAAAACATGTAGTGATTACAAGATCAACAAGACATGGCTACAGGTTCAACAGATATAATGAGTGATAGGGTGCGGCAACAATGTAGATGGTGCAACTCTGCACGCAACTTTCGAAAGACTTGTGTCATGTGTGAATGTTGGGGATAAGTTGCGCACACGATTCGTGCAACTGTTGCATGGAAATAGAAGATTGTCTATTCCATGGTTTGTTCGTGCGACCAAAACCGCAAGACTTCTTTCTCGACATACACAGGGCAACTCGTGCAACATGATTGTGATAGATAAGTTGCACTGGTGTGGTGGTATGGAGTATGAGAAACCAGGGAGTGGGGTATGGGGTACGTACCGGAGTAAGTTTCCCCAGGAGAATGTTCAGCAGTGTTGACTTGCCCACTCCATTTGGACCAACAATAGCCACTAGACAGACAGACAGACAGACAGACAGAAAGAGGGAGAGGTAGGGAGGGAGGTGAAATGAGAGACACTCTCTCTCTTACTCTCTCACCTCTGGACTCCATGTTGATACCAAACTCAAGATGCTCAAACAGCGGTGGCATTCCCTCATAGGAAAACGTTACATCTGCAAAATAGAGACAATTTCTACGCTCAACATTCATCAGTTAACAGTATAGCGTGGTGGTGTTTTATTCATCAAGGGTGTGGAAAATAGGGTAGTCTAAATGTTTTGTACACTTTTATCACGTAGTTTGGGGAGGACAGGCCAACCAACCAACCATACAGTGGAACCTCCGATAAGGGACCCTTCGAGATAGAGACAACCTCTCTACAAAGGACACTTTTTTCAACCCCATGCTAATACTTAGTGCTCCGAGATAGAGACGACCTCTCCAAAAGGACAAAATCGTTGGCTCCATAATGTCCCTTGTTCGGAGGTTCCACTGTACCTCTACTGTAGCTGGAGTGTGCACTCACCGTAGGCCCCAAGGATGGGCGGGTTGAGAGGGGGAGGATTGGGGAATGAAAACTTGACCTTGTACTCTCGCGGCTTGGCCAACAGGTCCGGAGGCTCGTCCTCGTCCTCCTCGGCTACTCTCTGGTCATGTGACAGTCACCTGAGAGGTCACGTGACCTGTATACTCCTCACCTTATTCCCTCCTTTCTTCTTCTTCTTGCTGGAATCCATCACAGACGCCTCCTGTAATACGCAGCAGAACGAGGTTAAAGTTCACAGCTGCTGTTGTCACGGTAACCAAACAGACTCACAGCTTTTTTCTTGGACTGGCCGTGTGCCTTTAGTTCTTTTAATTCTCTTTGCTGCCAGTGGTAAAATTTTTCCAAATTAAGTCAAATTTACACCGTACATGTATACCTGAGATTTGAATGCCTTTTCTAGTTCCTTCAATTTCTGTTTGTACATTTTCTTGAAATCATCTGGAAGGAATATTGAGGTTAACCCCAGAACAAAGGGTTAAAATCATCGTCCTCACTGTAGTTTCCTCTGTAGTAGAAGAGTTTCTGGTGATCTGAGGTAAAGGAGTACTCGAGGTTCAGGGAGGGAGTATTTGTAGCGCATGCCAAATAAGGCTGTATAACCATTTATGGGCGCGCTATGAATTCAGTGGCTACTTTATACTCACCCAAAGTATCTATTTTCACGCTAACTTTTCAGGGCCTTGCGTAATCATCATTAAAGGCAATTAATATGAACTTTTCAAGTTTTTGGTAACACACTCCCTCCTACACACACACACATCCTCCTACACACACACACACACACACACACATTGTTATCTATCATACTCACCTAAATGGATGACGTCAGTGCAGACGTCGTCGAGGAAGCTCTGGTCGTGAGAAACTATCAACAGAGTCTTCTTCCACGACTGGAGATAGCTTTTAGAGAGAGAGAGAGATATGGGAGGAAAGGAGGGAGAAATGAGGTCTGAATGGAACCCCTCTAATATGGGAGAGAAGCATGTGTTCATATTAGTAAGGTGTCTTTATTTCAGAGGTTAAAATTGCACGCAAGAAACTGTTCTTGAGGGAAAGAAAGGGTGTCCTTATTAGAGAGGTGTCTTCATCTCAGAGAGGTTCAACCGTAGATTATTATTATATTACAATTGTCGCTGCCTTAAAGTACTATTTACTACCTGAATCATTACACCTACAAACCTGTTACGAACCTGTTGAGCCAGATGACGGCATTCAAGTCGAGGTGATTGGTCGGTTCGTCCAACATCAGTAACGTTGGCTCCATGAACAGAGCCCTGTACTAACACATCAGTCGACAGACCACGCCCCCTGACCACACCCACCTGGCTAGCGAGACTCTCATCCGCCAGCCACCGGAGAATTTCCGCGTGGCTCTTCCCTGCATTTCCACGGTGAACCCTAACCCCTACGTGGGGGGAGGAGAATGGAATGGAAAACCAAGCAAAGGATGCAGTTGCAAGGGAGGGAAAGGGTGAGCAAACATCACAATCATACTCTGAAAAACTTGGCAGCAATATGTTGCCAGAAATAGAACAGGCTTCTAATTACAGCAACAAGTTGCATGAGGCAAACAAGCTAGGCAACTTGATATCATACACAAGGCAGCTATTTCAAATCAACAGCCCGTAAGGAGATCTACAAGCTTTAGGAAAGGGAAGAAAGGAACTAGGGATGTGGTGGAGTGACTAACAGCCAGAATTCTGCGAGCTCTCGACTCTGCTGATGCTGCTCCTATGGCCTCCAGTTCTTCGTGAACCTGGAGACATTACACATTTAGAATTGTATAGGGAGGGAGAGGTGGAAACGAAATGCATATAAAAAAGTGTGGTAGTAGAACACAGGCATTATGCCCATACATTTGGGTTGTCACGTCTAACATTAGCACTATATACAGGCAAGAGAGTATCAATCTACCGTATAGTGTCTTAATCACGTTAAGTGTTCCTTAATTACGCTAAGTGTTCCAAGTAAGCAAATTTGGTTTTTGCAGTATAATATTCTTTTCACGTGTGCAGAGCTGTCCTGGGTGTAGTTGACTTGTTTGCCTTTCTACCTCGCTACCTAGTTGTTGACACGTGCACCCAGACGCACAGCATACTGCGTACGGTGAAATTGTAAGTGACGGATGTGACAACTAACACACCAGAAGGCTCTGTATGTACGTACCTCTCTGAGTCTGTCTGTTTGAGTGTCGTCTCCTCTCTCAGACGCCGCTATCAACTTATCCTCTTCCTCCAACAGCTTTAGTCGCTTCACGTCTGCCTTCAGTACAGCTTCAATGGCTGGCGTGTCGTCTACAACAATCTCTGGAAAGGTGTGGGGAAGGGGTTAAAAATTACTGTGCAATCTTTGAAAAAGGACACCTCTCTATAAAGGACACTTGGTTCTGCCCCATAAATTAGTTCCTCTGATTAAAGACACCTCTCTATAAAGGACACTTGGTTCTAATACATTAGTCTATACCTCCGAATAAGGGACCCCTCACACAAAAGGGCAATTTCATTTCACTGTGAATAACAGCAACATTAGTGAGTGCAGCAGACCTTGTTCGCAGTAGAGGACGTCGATATTTGGAGGAATTGCCAATTTCCTGTCTGCTATGTGCTTCAGCAGCGTCGTCTTGCCCATACTACAACAACATGTACATGTGGTTTATACCAAAAACATGGACTAGAAGGAGAGGTGAGGGGAGAGAGAGAGGCACAAACCGGAGAGGGAGGGAGGGGGGAGGAATGAAAGGGAATAAGGTGGAAAAGATAGGGATGGGAGGATAGAAAGAGAGAGAGAGAGTGAGTTACCCATTTGGTCCAACCAGACCGTATCTCCGACCGGCTGTGATCTGTAGTGCGGCGTTCACGAGGAGATCCTTCCCGCGGGCCGAGATGGAGAATCTCTCGATCTTGATGTCTCTTGTGGTCTCCAGGAGAGCGTCCGTCATCTTTGTCTCCCTCTGGGAGACTGAGAACTGGGAGCCATCGGTCAACTCTTGCTCCATCTTTCTCCACATCTCCTCCTATGCACAGACGATACAGCCTGGTTCTTTGTAGCCGTGAGTAGGCAAAAATATTACATCAAATGAATATGTCATTGCATAGTTCAAATCCATCTAATTCTCTCTTTCTTTCAGATAGGGTTGCACAAGTTCTCACAAATGATTGTGATAATCGCATATATAAAATTTACGAAAATTGCAAATGTGGAAAGTGTTTCTTTTTTCTGACCTTCTTTTTGAGTTTCTTCAGCTCTTTCCGACTCATCTTCTTCTCCTTCACCTCCTCACCAGCCTCTCCCTCTTCACCGTTCTCATCTCTCTCCTCCTCTCCCCCTCCTCCCGTCGCTCCCCCTCCCTCCACACCTTCCCCTCCCTCACCAGACCCCTCTATTTCATCCACAACCCCTGGGGGGCACCAAAATTTCAAATGAACCCTCACACCTTTATCTGGGTACCTTCTGTCTGTGGTGGCGGGGGAGTTAGTTGTTTCTCTTCCTCTCTCTCCTCCTCTCCCACACCCAGCTCATCTGTCTCTTCCACCAGGTCCTCCATTGGGTCCTCTGGAGGTAGGTCTCCGGGCTCAACTGCTTCCCTCCGTGGTTTTCCCGCCTTCTGTCCCCCTCCTCCTCCTCCTCCTCCTGACTTTCCCTTCTTCTTCTTCCCTCCTCCCATCGTTCAGCTACTCGACTGAGTCTTCCACAACTTGTAACGTGCGCGAATGAATGCACTTTGACCCTACACGTTTAGCCACGCCCATTTAACCATCCATTACTCGTTACTCGCAGGACGTGCGCGCAACTACAACTCTGACCTCGCCATCAGCATGTATCTTTTATAGGCTCCCAGAGAAAGTGTAGTTCAGAGAAAGTTGAGCTCGTGTCCGGTCGTGTTCGGCGTCTTGTGCAGAATCCAAGGTACCGAGAGCCTCTCCACCACCACAGCTCGGTGAGTTCTCCTCTCTGTCGGGCGGGTCCTTCGTCGTGTTGTAGTTGTTGCAGTTTGTTTTCGTTGTTTTAGCTCGTCTCTAGCTGCCTGCTCTGCAGCAAATGCGCGGGAAATTTACCAGCTCTTGCTGCTGCCAAAGAACTGATTCAGTACACACTGCTCACGTTACAGTGTACTGCATGTAGACCATAGTAGCTACTAGAGCTAAATTGACGAGGTGGTATGTAGCTACTAGAGCTAAATTGACGATGTGGTAGATACTAAAAGAGGCAGAGAGCGGCATTTTCACGAGGTACGTATATACAGTGGGAGTATTCATATATACGCAGGCTTTTGCTCTGAAGGTACAGGTACTAGTGTGAAAACTGGAGAGCTGAGTTTGGCATTGGTTTAGTGGCTTCACCTGGGTGTGTGTGGGGAGGCGGAGATAGACACGCGTAGCTGAGGTCTGGAGGAGAGGCTGAATGCTAGGGACCGCTGTTGTGTTGTCATACAGCTGCAATTGACTCTCTCCAGTGGCCGCATTCACTACCGTTGTTAGCAGTTCTCTCCACTCTCTCTTGCCTACCCACACATAGACCTACTGTGGTTCCTGTGGCCCTAGTTCTCTCTCTTCGCCTTACATTCAGCTACTATAGTTCTCTGGCTAATAGACTTTCCTAATGGAGAGAGGTATGGAGGGAGGTATGGAGGGAGGTATGTGGGCGCTAATGCACTTAGCAAGCCCTGGAGTGACAAAGATAATAGACATAGACCTACTGTGGTTCCTGTGGCCCTAGTTCTCTCTCTTCGCCTTACATTCAGCTACTATAGTTCTCTGGCTAATAGACTTTCCTAATGGAGAGAGGTATGGAGGGAGGTATGTGGGCACTAATGCACTTAGCAAGCCCTGGAGTGACAAAGATAATAGGATGTAGTGGCTTTGGGTGGTAAAAGACAAGCCCTGTGATGTACATACAGGCAATGAAAGTCGCATGTGACTGTACTGCCAGTGTGGTGTGTGTGGTGTGTGTGTTAAACAGTTCAGATAGTGTGTGTTGTGGCTGATCTGTATGTATGTAGCTGTGCGTGCATGAAAAACATGAGGATTCTTTGGGTGGCAGAGTCCTTTGAGGCTTCCACCGTCGCAGAGAAAGTTGAGAACCCTATGTTTAGTTTTTCATGGAATAGGTGAGAGGGGTTAGGAAGTGGCAACGGGTAGATGGTGTAGTTAATTGGGTGTTATCTTGTAACAGTGCAGGCAGATATACAAGCCATTTTGGGAGTTAATTGTTGGCTAACAGGAGGGTAAGTGAGTCATTATCGGCGCAATCATTTACAATGCTTACAAAACTGCTTTGACTGTTGGTTAAATGTGCGATAATCAGTGGACCATGTACATTGGACAAGTATACATAGTAGTGGCAGTTGTCTATACTGGATGTTGAAGGTATTTGTGGTGAGCAGAACTAGGGTTATGACACACAAAAGCAACACTTTAGGTGTACACAGATACCTCTGATGTAAGGTAGTGCATTGACTTCATGATCTTATATGGCAGGGCATGAATGAGCTCATTCAGGCATAGAGAGATAGAAGGAGTGAGGCAGGGATAGAGAGGACCGAGAGATAGAGATTGTGGATAGAAAGTGAGAGACCTAGAGAGATGAAGTAGATGGTAGAGAGAGAGGATAGGCATCTCTACGCTAGAGCTCGCTCTCTCTCTACTCTCTTCTTTGTCCGACTCGCTGCGACGTATGAGAGTGCTCTCGTTCTCTCTTCGCCTCGCTCTCTTCTGCTCGCTCTGTGACGCTCTCTCTCTCTTTGCTCTCTCTCTCTCTCTTTTCTCTCTTACTCTTTTCTCTCTCTCTCTCTCTCTTTTCTCTCTCTTCTCTCTCTTCTCTCTCTTTTCCTCTCTTCTCTTCTCTTCTCTCTCTCTTTTTCTCTCTCTTCCTCCCTCTTTCTCTTTTTTTCTCGTGAATCTATACTGTGGGTGTGGGAAACGTAATCCCAGTGAGTGGGTATAGAGAGAGCTTAATGGAAAACTTGGAGTAAAGCATGTGGGTGTGTGTGTGAGTGTGCCTTAATATGGTGTTTCTTTTGAACTGGGGTATTTTCCAAGTCGACTCCCATCCCAATCTTTGCCTGTCTTTGACCCCATGTGTACAACAAGTAATTGCCAATTATACCATGTGTAATAGCTGCCCACGTGTCTAATGCATCTGTACCGACATAAGGGGCCGATTCAATTACTCCCTTGCCTATTATAGCGACGAAATCTGCCCTAAAATTGGCTTGCTTCCATATATTTATTATGATTTGGTATGCATTCTGTTGCTCTTGAGAGCTCCAGCTACATAGCTAGGAGCTGGGCCTGAAAACACTCGTTGTTTTGGAGCGGCACTTGTTTTTGTTGTTCTTTTCTTTTCCCAACTGACTTTTCACTTTCGTTGTTGTCCATCTGTTAACAATACAGAGCAGAGGGCAACTCACGGTTGCATCACTCGCTCACACACACACTGACGCAGCGACACAAACCGAGTGCGAAGGAACAAACAACGAAGTCTAGGAGAAAAGTCTTTCGGCTGACTTTATGTGCCGAGAGCTGAAAGAGGACGAGAGAGAGAGAGAGAGCTGGAGGTGATGGAAAGTTCAAATGACAGTCGGAATCTAAATTCACTGGTAGAGAAGTTGCGTCAGGAACAAGAGTTTTCCACGTTTTACCGCGGACAGATCCATCAGGCAATTCGAGACATAAACTGCTGCTGTGACCAGGTCTTGCAGGCCCTCTGGCTCTCACTGTGCCTCGGACATCTCCTCGACAAGACGAAGCTCCGCCTACTCCAGTCCTCCGAGTGGACAGCTGCCCTGGAGCGGGCTGGTTACGTTCAGTTTGTCGACGCCGCCAAAATCCTTCGCTCCAACTCGCTCATCGAGTCCTACAAGAGATTTCTCGGAGGTTTGCTGGAGAGACCGGCTGCCGTGGCCCGTGTGCTGGTGTGGGCGGAGTCAGAGGGCCGAGACTCCGCCTCCCTAATCAACGACCTCGTCTCGGTGGTGTACGGTCACTGCGTTTTCGGACGTGACCACGCCCTCTTTCTCCAGCTCCTTCAAGAGCTTCTCGTGCATCTCGTCTCCGTTGCAGAGTCACCGAAGGAGCTGTTCAGTGGAGTGGAGCCGGTGTTCTGCCGGGTGTTAACGGAGTACTCCAACCAACACCCCAAACTCCAGACGTTCGTTGCTGAAGCCTTTCAATCTCCACTGTCCGATATTCTGACCTACGAGGATTACCTGGAGTTTGACGTCAACAAGGCGGGCAGCCGGATTCAGAGCTCTAACGAGGATACCGGCGCCGGGCGGTTCCTCGACGGCTCCGCCTTTCTCTTCAGCGAGGACCTTGACCTCAGCTGCGGCCGACTCGCGCAACTGGCTGCGCAGTTTGTGGATGGGATATCCCGGTTCTCCGTCCACTTCCCGTCAAGTCTAAAGTGGGTTCTGGCGTCTCTAAAGACGCTCGCCCGTGAAAAGTGGCCGAATATTTCGACGGCTGAGTTACGTAGACCTGTCAGCTCGTTGCTGTTCGGTCCGATTCTCGGGTCGACCATCGTAAATCCGGACAGCCACGGGGTGTGCAGTATGGACGTGGTGGTGGGTCCCGTAGCCCGATACAACCTGAGCCAAGTGGCGTCAGTCCTGCAGGGCTGTGCCTGGGTAATGGAGAGACAGGGAGGCAAGTTCTCCATCCAGAAGGTCATCAGGAAAATGAACACCGTGAGTTGGGAAGTATATATTGGCACTGAGAACACCTTCTTTTCCATACATTTAAAACTCTTTTACAATAATATTATAGTGGGACCTCCAATAAAGAACATGCTGGTACAAATTTTATTCCATTGTAGGTGAGCATTGTCCATTAATAAAGAAAGAGAGTGTATCGCAATGATATTGTCTTGACACAATACGACATAACAGCTCAATAGTGAGACATTATGATTTCAGACCTTTGGGAACTGTCAGGTGTTGTGGTGCTTTTTTGGAGAAATAGTGTTTCCTGTTCAGAGAATACTCTCCCCTCTTTACCTTCCCCTCTCTCTCTTCCTCCCTCTTTCCCCTCCCCTCTCTCCCTCCCCTCCCTCTCCCCTCCCTCTCTTCCTGGCAGGACTCATACTGCTCTCTGCTGGACACTCTGGACAGTGGCTACGGTCCAGACCCGCCCCCTCTCCCCTCCTCCCTGCCTGGCCTCAAACGAACTGCCTTCCTCGCCTCGCAGGCCCAGCTGAATGATCTGGTACTGAAACAGAGAGAGTCTGTGTGTGTCTGCAGAGTCATGCGTGTTTTGTTGACTAGAGCGGAGTGCAGTTGACTGTTCTTGTTTTGGGGGGAAAAGGGCTGTTGTCATGTGCTGTCTAGTTATCATATCTGTCTTTTGCTCACTCACCTTTCTACTATATTTTCAACGTACCCTCTTCTCCCTCTCTCTCCCTCTTCTCCCTCTCTCTCCGTCTTCTCCCTCTCTCTCCGTCTTCTTACAGGTGGGACTGGTGTACGAGGTGGCAAAAGACCTTTCCAGAAAATCCGACACTTCTCCAGTTCACGATGAGCTGAAACACCTCACAAAGGGGATGCCAATGCCGATGAAGCAGATGGCCACCTCCTCTGCCTACTTTCTCCCGATCCTCGCCCCCCTCATTTCCACTCGCTCTCCGACAAGACAACAGCCGCAGCGATCCTCTGAGAGCCAAGATCCCGTCACCCCAGCCAGTGGGGGAGAAGGAGGAGGGAGGGGAGGAGGGAAGAAGAAGGAGTCTGGGAAATCTTCCGCGAGATCGGGAAGGAAGCCGCGATCCAACAGCACCTCAAATCTGAACCAGATCTTGATAACAGCTGCCGGAGTAGGAGGAGGAGGAGGAGGAGGTTTCGCTACAAACACTCGCTCCTCCACCAGATCAATTTCTCCCAACAAAATGACGACTACTCATGGCATTGAGACCGGCTCCTTCGTGTCGCCCCCCTCCAGGGGTCGGGGAAGAAATCTGGAGGTTCCCACGGAAGTTCTGATTCTCCCGGTCACCAAGAGTAGTAGGAGGTCAAGCAGAGCGAGTGGAGGGGGAGGGGGAGGGGGAGATGAATGGGATTTTGCTGTTCTCTCTCAAGATGAGGTAACTACATAATTATACTGGTATACAGTCACCTCAGTGTATACTGCTGTTGTGGAAAACGTAACTCCCCTCCCCACTTGCACCTTGCACCTTGCACCTTGCACCTTGCACACACTGTATCACTGCGCTACTGTGGGTAGCAAATAACACTGCATATACTGTGGGTCTCTGTCTATTTACAGTTCATGCAGCAACAACCCTCTAGCAGAAGTTCTCCCGTCATCAGCCCCGCCCATCGTCATACCAGCCCCGCCCAAAATCCAACCAGCTCCACCCATGACTCTACCCAATGTATAACAAGTTCCCAAGACACACCCTCAAGTGACCCCGCCCCTCCATTACATCATACCAGCCTCTCCCACTCAGCTGACCCCACCCAAGACACACCCACTCCCGAACCTTTCACCTCCGACTCTCTAGATACAAAATCAGAATCACATTCCTCGACTTCCGATCCAGTTTCCCATTCCTCCATTCCCATTCCAGAGCTTTCCATTCCATCTGTCCCCGTTCCAAGTTGCCGGTCCCCAAATTCCAGAGACATCCCCTAGTTATCAGAATGGAACGAGGTCTGGTAGTAACAGCACAAACAGCGTCTGTTCTCCTGTGAGGGATCAGTGGGTGCGACAGCCACGAGAGTCCTGTTCCAGTACCGGAATGAGACAGACACACAGCACCGGGTCCGATTCCAGTCTGAGTACCTGCATGTCGAGCCGAGACCCGTCCACAAGTCCCCAGACCGTTCCAAAGAAAAGGTCATTTACCATCACCAGCATAGAGAATGGCAAATTTCAGCTAAACTTCGACCTTCAGCGATCACATAACCCTCCCTCTTCCCCTCCCCCCATCTCACCATCCTCCCCCGTCCCTATTATCACCACCACCCCCACTCCCCCCTCTCCTCCCTCCGTCACCTCGCCCCTGGCTAACGGGCTAATCCACCCGTCTCTACCTGCCTTTGAACACACACTACCGAATGGGACAGAGCGGTCAGAATCTCCAAATGAAGCACACCTAACCCCTTCTCGGCTGACCAATCGAGAAGCCGATTCTTGCACGCCGGTAGCCCAGCAAAATCACGAACTTTCACCTTCGAACCCCGACCTCTCGGCCTCGGATCACGATCGGGCGTCATCAGGACATGACACGCACACAACGATGGGTAGCTCGGTGGAGAATCTCCTGGAAGATAGCCCAAAGGGGGCGGCTGGGAAACAGAGCAAGAAGAAGCGGTGGTTCAAGAGAAGGAAGATAAAACAGAAACACCTCAAGCAACAAGTGAGCCTGCAGGAAAACAGACCGGTCGAGGACGTCGCGGTGAAGAAAGAGCGGAGCAAGACCCACGACGTTTCTTTTGAAGGTGGTGACGATGGGAAACGGCAGAGCCTGACGCGAGGCGCTGGGGGGAACGCCGGACAAGTCGACTCCGTGGACACCGGCCCGCGGATGAACACGCTCATGAAACGTCGCTCAAACACAATCATCGAAAAATACCGGGCCATCGTGGACGAGCAGAAGAAGAAGGAGGTCCCGAGAGTTGTGAAGGAAAAACTGGAGTCTCTGCCGCGTTTCGTCCACGTAAAGGTGGGGGAGATGTGCGCGGAGGAGTTCCGGGAGTCGCTGTTTTGCACGCAGCTGGAGTACAAGCTGCGGGCGGCACTCCAGAACGTCCATACTCCGTTGACCTCTGACCTGGGTGACGGGGTGAGGGGGTACGAGGTCGCCCGACCTGACTTGAAGTGGCAGGTAATGTTCAGCTTTTTTCTATGCCTTATATCTTACATGAAACGAAACTTTAGCAAAGTGGTCCACCAATTTTATATAGTATTATAACAAAACCCCTGTCTTGTCTTGTAAGGATGAAACACCATTTTGCAGAGAAAAATATGTGGTACAACTGTACAAATTCATCCCAAAAAATTACTATCAAAATCGCATGTAGATGTATGTACATAACTGTCTCTTGCATTTGTGACCAACTCAAAGAAACAAGGAGGTATTACCCCTCTCTCTCCCTCTGCAGCTGACCAGTCTTCTGGAGTCAGGCCTCCAGAGAAGTAGGTGGGTCCACGACAACATGGAGTCCGCTCTCCTCGCAGAGACACTCAACATGCTCTCCCAGCTGCCAGACTCTCTGTGAGTGACCTCCAAACATATATATACCCTATTGGTGACTAGCACTAATACAGTAGAACCTCTGATGAAAGACACTCCGAATAAAGGATGCAATAGAGAACAAACTTCTCAATAAAGGACACACTTTAAAGGTCCCAAACGTTTACTTTCCCATCACCTCCAAAGAGAACGTATCCCTGTGAAGGACAAAAGGCCTGATCCCAACATTCTGAGGTTCTACTATATACCGTATTCTATGTGATATCGTGTTCGCTTGTCAAAAGATTTCTTGTGTTCAATCCCCAGAGTGGGCGTGGCTGTCTCGACGGCCCACGAGGAGCACAGGAGACGACAAGCCTACGCGGACTACCTCGTCAAGTCTCACATGAGGTTCCTGGACGTCCGGCTCCAGGTCGGAGCCGTCCAGACTACCGTCGACAGGTCTGTCGCAATCCCCTGACACTAGAGAGACACGAAAACTCTACTTAGAATAAAACGAAGAATTTTCAAAGAAACTGAGTTGTTGAAGTGCCATCAGTCATGTGTTGGCTAACTTGCCTGAATATATATAGCAGTATTTAATTCAGATGACTTAATTCCATTTTTGCATTGAGCGTTTTTAGTCTACATTTAGCCCTGACAGCCATTGTGATGTGAGACGTGCAATGACGGGAGAATAATTATTTACATCCACTCTCACACACTCTAGCAATTCCTTATTTTGAAACCCTACTGAGGCCCACTGCTATCTCAACTTACTGTGAAGCAATGAGAGGAACAGTTGTGTTGTCGATCCTCTAGCGCGTCCCATGCCTCCCTAATTTTAACCCTCCTTCGTACCCCAGATACCAGGACGTGCTGCGGGAGCAGTTTGTCCAGTTTGCAGTGCGGGAGTTCCTCGACAGTCGGAAGGAGCAGCTGGAGGGGCTGCGTGACTCGCTGGTCTCTCTTCCTCTGGCCGACGAGAGGTGCTCCCTCATGACCGAGAGGGTGGAGGGCCTCTCCGAGGGCCTCATGGAGCAGCAGACTTGGAGAGGTCTGCACACCACATATTATCATAGCATTATACTGAGAAACTGTCATACCAATACATAATTATTTGTGTGATTGGAGATTGTGTTGAAACGCTTGCTGAGGTATACACCGCCTTATTTCCACCATAACTCCTGCTGCACTCTCCAGTTATATCAATATTATGGTATAGTTGGTTGACCTGTCCTTCCCCCCACATGCTTACTAAAATTAAAGCCACATCATTTTTGAACTGCTATTGTCGAAAGCAAAAAGTGGCCTTGGTTGGTGACCATCATTTTCTTCTCTCTTTTTCAGACTGGCCGGGAGAGAACGTAGAAATGGTGACCAGCTACCTGGAAGACCAGCTATTCTCCCTCCTCTATCTCCACGTCTTCCAACCCAACTGTGACCTGGACAGACAGAGAGACGAGTGAGTGGGGTTCAAAGGTCACTTTGTCTGAGAGTATAGTTGTGATTTTTGACCTTTGAACTCGACAGGTTGTATTCGGCGCACCTTTCGAGATTATCGGAGGGCCTCACTCCCACTCATCCCAGTCTGCAGATATCGCCGGTAAGTCATGTGAGCATCATGTGGGAGTCACATGATCCACACGTGCCCGACTCTGCAGATTTACCACAGCGGGTGTCCTTGGATGTCAGCACAGAAGCACCTCAAGGCAATGTCTGTATTCAAGGTATCCACAGTAGAACCAACACTCTGAACAGAGGACACTCTGAGCAGAGGACACTCTGAGCAGAGGACACTCTGAACAGAGGACACTCTGAGCAGAGGACACTCTGAGCAGAGGACACTCTGAACAGAGGACACTCTGAGCAGAGGACACACACCTCCCAATGAAGGACACACTTCGAAGCCCCAAAACGTTCACTTTTCTATTATCCTAGAACCTCCAAAGAGAGGACAACCTCTCAATAAAGAACCAAAAAAGGTGTCCCAATGTGTCCTTTATTCTGATTGTAAGAATGTTCTCTCAACATGCATTATTAGTGAGTGAGTGCAAGTGTGTGAGATTACCCCCCCCCTCATTCAGTCACCGAGAGGGAAGGTGCGCTGTATAGCGGAGAGTTGTCGAGTCCTCATCAGTCTCCTCCAGTACGCCAAAGTCGGGAGCCCTCCCGGAGCCGACGACCTGTTCCCCGTCCTGGTCTACATCATTATCATGGCCAACCCTCCCGCACTCCTCTCGACCACTCAGTTCATCAAGAACTTCCTCGAGGACCGGCTAGTCGGCGAGGAAAATTACTGGTGGGTCCAGTTCAGCACCGCTGTCGAGTTCACCAAAACTCTCGAGTGATTTCGAAGTTTGTGACATCACCGTCTTATGTACCAGCGCTTTTGCAATTAAATTTTTCGCATATCATCATGGTTACTGATGTTTTGTGTTCAACCTGAGATCAATAATATTTATGTTATTATAATATCATAATAAAAATTGTAAAAAGGATTTCATCATCACAAAAAGAAGAAAGAGGAGAGGTGAATTTTCCTTGTGTGTGTGTGTGGTATGAGAGTTTGACGGTATGGGAATGAACCAAGAGGACACTAATGAAGGGGGTGCTCCACATAATTATAATCAAACAGAGGAAGAGAGAATATGGTGACTCAATGTCACATGTGAGCTCATGTACAGTGTGTGAGAGAGGTCAAATAAGAGGTCATGAAGTGGGCGGAGTTTGGTCTCTCTGGGAGGCCTTCACAAAGTCCGGAGAGGTCTTGAATCGACGGAAGGAGTCCTGTGCCATCAGTTCGTACGCCGTCTGACGAGCCTCGTCAAACATCTCCTTGTGAGGAGATCTTCAGCTGGGCTTCGACCTTCTTTGCCACCGATGAATCTATGTTCAGCTGAGGGGGAGCAAAAAGCGGGAGTTATCAGAGAAAGTTTGTATCAACGGTCATCAAAGATCGTACACTGAGGCCACCAGGGACAAATAAACTTGTGTGATTTCATAATTTATCTATACTAACTAACCTATACCCCCATTAGAGGCAGTATAATTATGTATCAGCATTAGAGTCAGTATAGTTATCTAGACCAGGGACCACCTGCAATAAGCACAGTTGACATTTCCCACTCCCACCAGGGGCCGCCATGTCTCAACACGCAGTCTCAACACGCCATGTCTCAACACGTAGAAGATCCCGTGGGATTGGTAGCTAGATGCCACTAGAATTGAAAACACACACCACATGAGCCACAGAGCTGGCCTTGTGGAATTCACTGAACAAGGAATTCCAAATAGAAACCTCACCTGAAGGCTTCAGGTCCTCAAGGAAAAGCAGAGAAGAGAGAGAGAGAGAGAGCAAGTCTTCCATTAGATGCATGACATGTATATACAGTACATGTAGGATGCACAGTGAGGTAGCTACACTAAGAGGGAGGTTTCTAAGTGACTGGACGTCCCCTGCTGCCAGCCCCGGGTGGGCTTCTATTGGGGAAACAGGCATTCAGAGCTGACGGGGAGCACTGCTGAGTTTAGACTCCAGTAACTAGATTAACTGCTGCCACACTGGACCTACCACACAGGGAAATCGAATGGCTCCCTGTTCAACACGTCACGCTTTAGTTAGAGGCTTATAACTATAGCCCATTGTCTTGGGAATGCACTTCCTTACTTTTCTCTCTAGGGTATTGGGTATTGCAGCCACAGGTCTCATTTTACAGCATAGCTGCCTCTTTTGGCCCCCCATAGTCTTAGAAAAGCTGTCCTCTTACAGAGCATACACATTCAGGCCCTCAGCTATGTAGAAACTGATGCAAGCGTGCCTGTGCCTGTGTGTATTAACTACATCTGTTCCCCCTAAATCATCCCTCAACTTTCTTAATAGTGAAAAACACCCCATTGTTGCTGCTAGTGCTAAAGTACACACATTAAATATACACATTTTCAGAAGACACATGTATAACTTGACACGATGTAATGATGTACAACATAACGGGACAAACAAGGTGGAGGGATGTTTGGCTTGGACCAAACATCCAACAGCCGGTGCCCTACCCGCCCGCTTGGCACCGCCACCAACTGTGTTACTATGACGACCCAGCTGGCCGGGGACAAACAATCGGATTGCATCACTCGCTGGGGTGAGATTGAAACTATAGCCTTACATTGCAGGCATACTGCCACGATATATAATCGTAGGAGCAATGCTGGCACAAAAGGGAAAGTTGTTAAAAAGGTATAGGATAACAAACGTGAGACTAAGAACAAACTACAGGGGCAGTACACACACATCAGTATTTATTTGAAAGAGAGAGAGAGAGAGAGAGAGAGAGGTGCGGCATGTGTAAATTGTGTACATCAAAACGAGGATATTCATGTCCACAAGGGACAGACTCGGTACTAAATGCATGGCTGGATCTGGATTCCACAAGCACTGTGCACAGTAAACTAGAGAGGATCTCTCCTTACATCACTGCCACCTGATATACCACCAGCTGAGACCACCAGGCCCCCCACAGTGGTACAGATAAATCAGTTTTTAAACCTTTCAGTGGCTCGACTGAATGCACAACTAGGATAAGGAAGCCCTGTTGATGTCAGTAACCCTCTACCGTATGTCACGATACTTCTCATTTTTGTGAATTAGAGTCTGTAGTAGCGAGGCCACCACCCAATGAGGGAAGTGAAACTGGTGACTTACCGCTTTCGGAGTGCCTTCTCCCACATATTCCGCAGCTATGGCCCGAGCCTCCTTCTCCAGCTTGTTGTCTGGCAGAGTTTTGAAGTGGTCCACTGCCTTGCAGAACTGCATGTTCTCCAGGCTGTGCTCCAGGGCAAGGTGACGATGGAACAGGACTCTGCCATCTGAAGGGTGTGGCAAGAGAGGGAGAGAAGGGGTGAGGGAAGATAGGAGACAAAGTGGACAACGAAAAAGGAAGGAGGAGCCGTCATATCAAAAAGGGACCTCTTTTATCACACTTGGGAGTTTAGTTACAACAAGCACAGTTCAAATTTCTGATCTGTAAAACAAGGCTGTTGACCTCTGGCAATTGCACACCACTTTGCATGCAACTCAACACCCTATCCCATCACCTCCAGCCAAACAGCTACCCCACGGTGCTGAGCTAACCGAGTTACCATGAATATACATAGCTAGAGCTCTCGAGGGCATGTCAGGCAGCAAGACGCGTACCTGGGTGCTGCAAAACTACGTCCAGCGACTTTCTCCATTCTCTCAGCGTCTCCGGAGGCACGCTGTGGGTGAGAGATACACAGACGCAACGTGAAAAACGCTCCTTCTTCCGTGAGAGCAGCTGGTGTAGCTCACCTGTAGAGCGTCAGGTCAGGGTCTCCGAATGACGGATCCTGCACTCCCGGAGAAGGAAGATCTCCCGCGCCTTTCTTGTCCTTCTTCTTCTTCTCCGCTTTCCCCTTGCCACCGAACCTGAGGCCGAGCGAGAACAGGTGGTGATGCGATCCGCCGCTGGACCTTCTCTGTCGCGTGTGGTCTTCCTCCACGGACAGATGGTGCGTGGAGGGACCGCCGACTGGTCCGTTACTAGAGACAGCTGCGGCCGTGCTCATGTCCGCTGCGTCTCTCTCGTGCGCGTCTTTGCCGCTTACTCCTGGCCCAGAACCTAACCACGCTGCCGATGCTGCTGCCTGCTCTATGTCGTGGTAACTAAGAGAGCGCTTCACTACGTGCCCGTTGTGATGAGGCGGGCGTTTCCCGTTCTCCGTTGCGTCGTCGTGATCGTGACCGTGGCGTCGGACGACGTCCAGGAACCGCATCAAGCCGTGATGGTGGTGGTGCGTCGCGTGTTTCCCATTCGTTGCGTCTTCGTGGTCGTCGACGTTGTCGTGATCGTGATCATCACCGTGGCCGTGGTGTCGTACGATACGCAGGAACCGGGAGCGCGTGGGGCTCGGGGACGTGTGACGGAGACGTCTCTCTCTCTTGGGCTTTCTCCCGTGGTCCACACCTGCATCGTCGCAGCTGTACTGCGGATGGATGATGACTGGCGGAGTGTGCGATAGCATATTCCCTGGATGCGCTCTTCAAAACTGACCCAGCAAACCACGACAGTCGAGCTAGCTACTTGGCCTTTTGTTCACACAGTACACTGGAATAATGCACCACTTGAGCTAAGACGTGTAGGAGCCTGCCCCTGCTTAGCTATATAGGGTCCCATCAACATTCCACAGTCGACACAGCCCATTCAACACAGGCTAAACCTGACTTAGGTACTGTCTTATCCCATTCAGCTTGTCACAGAGCCAGAACCTGCAAACTAGCCCTCGAGTCAAAATACGACTCACAACTGCGGCTTCCTGCACATGGCTACGCCGTTTGCACCTTTATAAACCACAAGGTGTCCCAAATTCGTCGCGGAAACCGTTTGAAAATCGAAGAGAACTCACAGGTTGAAGCTCCGTCGTTTGGAGTTAGCTCTCTTCCAGTCAAGAGATTTGGCTGGAGTGGCTGCCATACCGAGCCCTAGGTCGGGCAGGTCACTCTGATTCTGCTGAAAACTCCCCTTCCTGTTCCCACTTCTCCCTCCTCCTCCTCCTCCTCCTCCCCCCGGGGCTGAATCTCTGGGAATGTAGCTGTCCGACTTGTGCGCCGGATGGAGGTGGGATCTCGTAGTTCCAGAGTTGCCGTGAGGTTTGTTCTCTCTTGCGTCGTCGTCTTCTCGGGCAGCCTGGGATGCTGGGTCCCGTAGCTTGGGAAGGGTGTTGATCCTCGATACCTTGGGGAAAATGGCGGGGAAGGGGGGAAAAGAACTGAGAGTGAGATAAGTTCCCAGCCCGCAACCTCTAGACACGGCCACACTCCCTGTGCTGGATGCGGAAGTTCGGCATCAGGACGACGACTTCCTCTTCCACGACGACGAGATCGCCCGCCTCATCCAGGATTCGTCGCGGCGGGCGCGCTCGTGTGCGCAAGTAACTCAGGACAACGTCTTCGCCGTGCGGTCGTTTCAAGAATACAAAAGCACTGTCCACCAGCGCTAGTACCTCACACGCAGCGCCATTCGTGATGAACGTTCGCTCGAGCGCTTCCGTCGCCCGGGGCTCTACCACTGGCGGGGCTACGGAGAACCGCTCACCGCTTCTAACCAAGGCAAATGTCCCTGACGTCGGAGGTCGTCGCCGCATATTGCGCAGTCGCAGCGCCCGGCAACGAGCGCCTCGGCAGTACGGCGTGCGCACTCTACAAGCTGCCATGTGGCTTCCATGATCATGTTCCTCTCATGCTGAAACAGGGCCCGGGCCCCGGACCGTGTTCATCATTGCACGCACAACACACGCCGGAGCATTTTCATGGCTCCTAGGCCGAGATGACACCTCTCCCTCAGTGCGCACCATTTTATTTGGCGCTTGACGCGAATTGTTCCGCTAATATTGGCCTGCCGAATAACACATCCTCGGTCAAGTAAGGTTATGGGATACTATCAAAACATGAGAGAACTCTTGCGTACCCTCTCTCCGTGCTTTCTTCTGAATGGACCCAGAGGTTCTCTTCTCCCGTATTTTTATTGAGGCCGCTTCTACAGACGAATTGGCACGGAGCCAAAAATTGCGGCTCACCCTCGGCCCGGGCCCGCATAGCTCTTTCTGGAGCCCTCCTGAGGCATCACATGTCGTGGTGCGGCTGAACTTGGAAGGTCCAAACTCGCAACAGTCGCTCGATTCATTGCCGAATGCATCGCCGGGCAGCGCCCCTTAATACGTGCCTCACATTCAGTGCGCATCGGACGCGCTCTTTGCCGCCCATACCGAGATTTGGCGGACTACCTGCCGCCCGAAATCCCCGGCTGGGCCGAGTTACGCCCCTGCTCGTGCATATGAGCTGCAGGCCACGGGAGCCTCGCGAATCTCTCTCTTTACAGGCCCGCGTCCTATCCCTCACTCCACGTTCTTCTTCACCGTGTTCCGGCTATATTCGTTATCCTGCATATGAGAGAGGATTCAGCGTGGACCTTAGCCGCAGGTCGTCACAAGGCTTCGCGCGTCCTGACTGCTCCGCATGAGGCTTATCTGCTTCCTCTGCGTGTTCGCCACTTTCCGATCTCGTCGCTGCGCTACTTCGACTGGTGTTGCCGAGTGCGCAAGATTGCGAGCCGCTAGGCCACTGGCCCTGGCAGTGCGTATGTGCGTGTGCCTACCAGGGACCAAGGATGTTGCATCGCGTCTGGCGGCTCCCATCCTCCATGAACAAGACGCAGAGACTGCGTGATGGCCAGGCGCGAACCGTACGCTCATCGAAGGCTTCTCGTCTCGTTATTAGACTCAGCTCACTCCTCGTGACTCTTGGAACCCGCAAGGACAAAGCTTGCGTCTCGGTGCAGTACCTTACCGACCGCTGACTCAGTAGTCGAGTGTTCATAACATCACTAGCTCGCTGCTCCTCGGATGAGGACCAGCGACGGTACGTGCCTGCGAGTAATAAAATCCACATGGAGTTCTACATTGATTGCTCGTTGCCCATCTGGAGCGGACCGGTCGCTCGTGGTCTTGCTAGCGGCGCGTCTGCCACTACCCAGGTGGTGTATCGTCACTGTTCGAATTTATATACGCACAGCCCACTTTTAAGTACTCACACACACACTCTCTCTCACTCTCGTTCTTTCTCTTTCAGTATTTTTTTTTTTTACTGTGTTCAGGTGAGTGATTCCTGCGTCGCCTTGCTGCTATAGTCCTCCGCTTGCTTTATTTATATCAGCTTAAGGGGCAGCGGCCCCGCGCTCGTCCAGCGTCTGCGGGTCGTAGACGCTGGCAACATGCGTGAATAGTTCGCCGGGCGCTTATGATGTCACAGGGCAATTGCAGGGGGCCACGTCGAGGAACCAGCGGAACTCCTCAGTGCTCCAGACGCCGCTGTTGACCCGGTAGCGGCTCAGACCATCGCCTTCCAAGCTACGGGACCCCAGCATTTCCCAGGCTGCGTATGCTGTTGAGAGCACCCACACGGCCCTGCACGCCAGCAGGCATAGTACAATCGATGCCTCAGCGGACTACATGCATCGGCTGTTGAGTTATCTCCGGAGCTCACGCCAGGCTCCCATCCGCGTCGCACCAAGGCTCGCCACAGCTCATCATTCCCCCAAGAGCATTTTTCGAACGACATCTCCACGGCGCGTGGACGAGGGCAAGTGTAGCGACCAGGAGAGGAGGATGATACCTCAGCCTCGAGTCACACTTAGTTCCAAGCAGAATGTCAGAGTACTCCTGCAGGCCGACCTTAGGGCTCGTATGGCAGCCACTCCAGCCAAAGTTCTCTTGACTGGAAGAGAGCTAACTCCAAACGACGGAGCTTCAACCTGGGTGAGTCTCTTCGATTTTTCAAACGTTTCCGCGAGAGATTTGGGGGACACCTTGTTGGTTTTATACAGACTCGGGTTCGCAAAACTCAGCGCGTGAGCACTCGCAGGGATACCTTGCAGAGA